CTCTTCTCTTCTCTTCTCTTCTCTTCTCTTCTCTTCTCTTCTCTTCTCTTCTCTTTTCTCGCTGTACCTCTCTGTTTCCTTTACTTCCTCCTCTCCCTCTTAAAGATGAAGCCCAAGAAAACAATGCATTCATCTCGGACTTCTGCCATTTCAAACACCAGAAGCCTTCTCCATGGCAGAAGAACAACAAGTTTCATATCTTTTGACACTGACTGCTCTCACATAAAAGTAGTCCTCAATTTATGACCACAACTGAGATTAGAATGTCCATTTTGTCCATGTCTAAGCAAGGCAGTTGTTAAACCAGTCATGCCCAATTTTACAACTTTTTTTGCCTTAATTGTAAATTGTTGCACTTGTTCAGTGTATATGTTCATTTGCTTGTCAGAAGCTGGCTGGAAAGGTTTCAAATGGCCATCATATGACCAGAGATGATGCAACCATTGTAAATACTGGTACATAGTTGGTTGCCAAGGATCCAAATGGGAAAGCTGCAATGTTTGTGAGAGGGCCAGTTGTAAGTAAATTCTTTCAATGCTCTTGTAACTTCAAAAAGTCACTAAACGAAAAGTTGTAAGTGTCAGGATTCCGGCAGTTACCCCTCTTCTAGTGTTGGATCTTCTTATGTACTCATCCATTCCTCTCCTGACCACAGTTCATTTACACCTGCAGGGTGTTTTCTTTCTTCTTCTGGCTTTGTTCTCACATGTGCTTCCTCTTCTCTTCTCTTCTCTATCAGCAAAAGCCTTTCACTTTTAAGAATTTTTGTTTACCAGTGGAAGAAATTTTCAAATTTTAATGCCAAACATAGTGAGGTTATATGTATACCTACCAGCAGTAAGAATAAAAAGAACTTTATGATAAAAAATGTGTAGATGTTCTGTTGTTTAGATTCAGTATGCTGCTGGGCTACTGAAATTATCTGCCAGTGTAGTCGTCCTTGTCTGAGTATTAGGCCATTACCATTCCAATCAATAGTAAGAGGTAATGGGCACTTTTAAAAACATTCTTCCAACATCACATTAATTTCCTCAAATTATCAGCCACAGTATTGAGGTTCTAGATAGAATTCTTTTCATTTCATTCATAAAAAATAATTTTATAAAACAGTGGAATTTTTGAACCAGGTTATTTTCTGAAGAAAAATAACCTTTATTCTCCAAGAATCAATTTTGTGTTGTTTGTGTGTAACAGGGGTATCAAACTCAAGGCTCGTGGACTGGATTCGGCCCACAGGGTGCTTATTTCTGACCCATGGGGCCGACCTGGAAACAGCAAAGGACTGCCCAGCAGTGTGGGGTGCATGTGTGGCACCCCCATGCCCTGTTTTGAGCCACAATGGCGTCCTGAAGCTCTCTACAAGCGAAAATAGAGCTTGGGAGGCCGCGCTGTCCCCTCTGTTTTTTTCTGGCAGAGGACTGCTGGAGGACATCATGGCCAAAAATGGGGCCCTGGGGGGACCATGTGTGGGGGGGGGCTCCATTTTTGCTGTCAGGAGGGCTATCAAAACAAACTAAAAGCAAAACACAATGAGAAATGTTTCCTCTTTTCCATTTGAGCATGCAAGAAGGGACAGGAAAGGAGAAAGGGAAAGAGGAAAGATAAAGAAAAAGGTGGGAAGAGAGCAAGGAAGGAAAAATAAGGAAAGAGGGGAAGGAAGAAGAAAGGAGAAGGAAGAGGGAAGGAAGAAGAAGAGAAGAAATGAAGGAATGAGATTATAATGAGAGTGAGGGAGGGTCTTAGGGAAGTCCTGCTTTAGCACTTGGCCACCACAGGTGTCCTTGACACGAGTGATGTTGAGCTGGCCACACCCACCATGGCCACCCCCACCCCCAGACCAATTCCCCTCCAGTCCGCTGAGGTCAAACACAACCCTGATGCAGTCCTCAATTAAATCAAGTTTGACATCCCGTGTGTGTATGTGCGTGTGTGTGTGTGTATCTAATGTCTGAATAAGAAACTAGTTGAGAGTTGGGAAGAATTAAACAGAAAAACTTACATTCTGCTGAAACCACTGATCATGGTGTCTTCTGGGGAACCTCTGCCTTCGTGGGAAAAAGCCCCTGTCCATATTTCAAGGCCTGTGCGGAATTAAAAAACAATAAAGTGTATCAGCATTATATTTAGATACATTCTCTTTAGAAGTCTTCTAAATAGAAATGCATAGGAATGTATGGCCGATGTCATTATGCAAATTTCTTTCTACACCAGTGTTTCTCAAACATTCTGCAATCATGGCCCAATAAACTTTTAAAAAATGGAGAATCCCCAAATTAAACAATCATCCATCTCCCCACATATTGTCCTCAAGAGCAGGGGTTATACTTTCTGGCAAATAATGTTTACTTGTGTGCAGCATGCCCTGCCACCTTCTCCATCTTAAAAAGCTTTTTTAAATTAAATGTTTGTATCAAAACAGTCAATTCAAAATTACATTTCTGCCTCTTGAGGAAACCTGATAGCAGAGAGTGAGTGCTAGCTCAGTTAGACAGGTAAGGAAAGGTGGGGACTGAGACAGATAGTGGGCTCTGCTCTTGATAATTAATCATTGGTGAATTCAGATGTCAAGAGCTTGGAGCCCCTACCAAGGTACATAAGAAGCTTCACACAGGAATTATAATCAAATGTATTTATCATCGTGCAATAACTTTAGCTCATTATATGCACATACCCACACATTTAATGTATCTATTATTTTGTGCTCAACTAACACCACACTTTGACAGTATTCATGATATTGTGGGAAGCCCCCCGCCCCGAAGAATATTAAAAATATTAAATATTAAAAAGGGAGAATATTATATTTCCCTAAAAGAGAAATGGAGAAACATGTTTTAGAGGCAGAAAGCAGCCCCCAGTCTTTCTTAATAGCCCACAGCAAATGCCAGCACTTAAGGAGATAAAGAGCTTATTGAAAGAGGAAGCCAACTATCTAGATGGCTCCATTCATAAGCAAAGCAAATATTGCATGTAGAAATCCATTCAAGACAGGATATTTCAAAACTCCTTGCAGCAAAGTTTGGCAGCTCACCAAAGCAGAATGGTAGGATTCGAACAAGCAGCCCATCACCCAAGATCCAACACAGGACAAAAGACATTAGCCACAATAGGAATTGCCCAACCCCCTTTCATTTTCCCTTCATTGTACAACCCACAGAGCAGTTCAAACTTCAAAGTCACAGAAACCTATAAAGATCCATCCACTCATTCAACCATTTGGTCAGCTGCCCCAGAATCACAAACCCCGGTGGTTCTGTTCATCAATAAACGGACCTTCTTTCTAATCAACTTCCAGCCTCCATTTTATCTCCAGCGTCTTTCTCCAGGGTTGGAACTGAACCAGATGGATTTTCCTTCCAACAATAGCTTATAACACCAAACAGAAAAATGTGGTAAAACCAGAAAACAATAAAAATGCAAAGGCATTGTAACTACTGCATACACATTTTGTATTATTAAGCTGGCCCCACTGTTAGCACCCCAAAAAGTATAAAAGTTTTCCAGTTGTGTAATCCCTTTTGACTGGGGGTTGCCAAATACAGATTTTTATCATAATTTGCAGAGAAGTACAAATATATGCAGGAAATGACACTGTTTGTCTAATGGACATATGTATTCCTGAATGGAATAACCCACTTCACGTTTTACAATTTTGGTATGAGAACGAAGACATAACCACAAACAGCTTTCAATGAGAACGAAGACATAACCACAAACAGCTTTCAATGAGAATTACTAAAACTCCAGAGCATAGCTACACCTAATTGTCCATAGAGATTATAAATGCATACAATGGCCACAACTGAGTTTATCCTTAAGAAAAACCACAGTGGCAATACAATTTTTTTCTATGAGTTTCATGGTAGTGCATATTGCTGGTCATTTTTCATTTGATTATGTAATTCAAAAGCTGCCTATATATATATATCACACACTGGCATGCAACAATTCCTCAATTTTGCATCAACTTATCCTTATATTCCACTTTATATATTTCAGTTGCAAAGATTTCTGACACCTGGTTATTTTCAATACTAACCAATACTACCTAAAGTGACTTTGAGGTCTTTCAAGTTGTCCAAGAATAATGCTGCTGTTAGTTCAATTATCTTTATTTATTTAGCACAGATTTTATGCCACTCAGTTCCCCAATACCATCAAGGGTTAAACACAATCCTTGTCACAATAGAGCAATAACAGCTAAGAATACCACACAATTTCCTGACAATTTCCTTAATCCTCCAGGATGCACAACAGGGGAATGTCCAGCTAACTGGGCAAGCAATCTGTCACTCCAAGCAGTAAGAAAATTAAGTTCTCAGAGGGGTTAGGTGACAAAATCTTAAACAAAATCTAGATAAAGGAAATACCTTTATTAGCAAATACATTCAGGTGCACTGTCTTAATCTGTGTTCTTCTTCACTCTTTTTAATTAGTAGAGACTGTTCCCCATAGATAACACAAATGTCCATCAAGTGTTGTTCTTGAAGGAAATAAATAATAAGTTACTCTTTTATAAAAGTATCTAGTGTATTATTAAGCTATGCTGTTCTTATTGTATATTAACTCCATAGTATATTCAGGTAAATATTAGGTGGTGCCTTGCTACAATCTTCTTGGAAAACAGGAATATTCACCGGAAACAAGGTCACAAGCAAATAAGATAGGAAGCATCCGCCCCAGGCAAAGCAACAACAAAACAAGATAAGGTATCTGTTGTCTTGAAGAAATTGTCAAGTCAACCCCTTAGTTGACTTATGACTTAGAGATAATAAGGGGAGTGGGGAAGGCTTCTTAGGCCTGGCTTGCCTTATATCGAGAGTATAAAATGTATTGCTTGAATATTGGATTTTGCTTTCCTCGTACTCAATCCACTTGGGAAGAGACTTGGAGGCCGCCTTTGCAAACACTTTTTGAAATAAACCTTGAATTATGAATCAGACTTGTCTCTGTATTGTGAGATAAAACATCTCACATACTGCAAACATCCCTTCTTACTCCCAAGTTCATCAGTGATAAATCTGGAATGTAGAAACCCTATTTTTCCCATTAAGTCTTAGGAAGGTCCCACTATGTTAGGACCTTCACTTTATCTCTTATCCAGTCTGGGAATGTCTTCTACAGCATTACTGGATACCTTACTTCATGCTAATAGACCTTCATTTAGATATTAAACAGCAAGAAGAAAGGAATGAGCCCCATAGCACCCCTTACTAGAGCAACCAAGAAATTGATCTATCTCAGCAATCAACACAACTGAAATAAGCCACTTAGAAAAAAGAATGTTGTAATACCATGCCCTCTCCCTCCCAATCTTCACATCTAACCAGAAGTAAATCTTGACTGATGGCTTCAAAGTTTCCCAAAACAACCAACAGTCTCAGGAGGGTCACATACATGCGAAACTCAAAAAATTAGAATATCGTGCAAAAGTTCATTTATTTCAGTAATGCAACTTAAAACGTGAACCTAATATATGAGATAGACTCATTACATGCAAAGCAAGATAGTTCAAGCCGTGATTTGTCATAATTGAGATGAGTATGGCTTACAGCTTATTAAAACCCCAGATCCACAATCTCAAAAAATTAGAAGATTGTGAAAAGGTTCAAAATTCCAGGCTCCAAGTGTCCCACTCCCACAATCAGCTAATTAAGCCATAACACCTGCAAAGGGTTCCTGAGCCTTTAACAGGTCTCTTGTCAGGATCCTGTCAGGATCACTATTATCATTTTAATCAAGTGCAATAGAACTTCCTTAAATCTATTTTACATTTGTGGCAGAATGAAGGAATTTGGTCCTCCAAAGTTTCAAATAAGTTAGAGTTTATAATCTCTTTGAAATAAATAGCAAACTTTCTCCGTACAAGCCTTTTGTTTTCATTCCACAATTCCACCCCACCTTGCATTCCAAATCTACCCATCCCCCTCCGTTTTCTGTTGTTTGCTTGTGAGGGAGTATGTGTGTGTGCGCATAGCGAGTCAAGCATGACCCAATGCTTGTATCCAGAAATGATTATGTCCTACTGGTAATTTCCATACCATCAGTTTTCCATCATATATTCCTGGTCATAGCCTAATTCTGTAATTACTTAGCATTGACCCTCTCACATATGTACACTGTGCACGTTTTCAAATATTGCTGGTGTTGAGTTTTCTATACAGCCCTTGCTACATTGCCCTGTGCACTGAAAACCAATTGTTTTCTGTACCGAATTAGATAGTGAAACACTCAGCTGCTAAAGTTCAAGGTTACCATGCAAAGAAATAGCTCCTTCTATGCTCACAATCAACTATTACATTTGGCTTCATTTTTATTTGCTGTAACATTTATTATCTAACAGCTAGATAATATATTCTAGTCAAAACTATCTCTGTGGATGTTCTGTCAAATCCTGTCTTCAGACTTGTATAAGACCAGGTCTGAGTTTTTCTGACAATTCCTGGTCAGGAAGCCTGACATCCATTAACCTACTTCAAATATTAGCTTTTTCCCTTATGGTAATTTCCAAAATATCTACACAACCCAAACTGGATGCTGCCTAGCACTTTGATGTTATGCACAAGCAACTGTTTGCATTTAAGTTCAAGTTCAACAGTTTTCTTCTTGTCCCCAAAGTTCCCAGTTTCTAACAAATCTAAAGTCCTCTACCTACAGGTAGTCTTCAGCTTACAACTGTTTGTTTAGTGGCCATTCAAAGTTACAATGGCAATCAAAAGAGTGACTTATGATGGGTCTTCACAGTTACAACCATTGCAGTATCTCCATGATCATCAAATTCAGGTGTTTGGAAACTGGCATGTATTTATGGTAGTTGCAATGTGCCTGGGTTGTGAGATCACCATTTGTGAGCTTCCTGGCTGGCTTCCAACAAGCAAAGTCAATGGCGGAAGCCGGATTTGTTTAATGGCTGTGGGATTCACTTAATGACAGCAGTGATTTTCTTACCAACTATGTCAGAAAAGGTCATAGCAGTGAAAATTCTGGTCCCAGTTGTGGTTGTAAATTGAGGATTACTTTCTGTAGAGTTGTAATTGCAGGAATATTCTTATCTTGGATGGCAAACCTCAGATTAAGAATGTTTACAAGCAAATACAACTCAGGCAAACAAAGTCACTAATGTAAAGGAGGATTAGAGAGAAGAAGTAAACATATGTTAGACTTTAACTAGAGATAATTAATTGTGTTGGTTGCTATGCTAAACAGTAATGAAAGTTAAGCAGAAACCAAAGTTAACCAATGTTGGAGGATAACTAAAAATGTGTATAAATGCAAGACTAGATTCCAATAAAGTTCATCATGATTCAGTTGATCATGATCAAACACCTCGACTGCCTTGTCATTACAACAACTTTCCTATTTCTTCCATGCCTTGAAAGCTCTAAGCTCTATCTGTTCATCTAACCAGTTAAGACTAAGGAAAATGCAGCTTTTCTGAAAATACCACCTAGGTAGTCCAGACTTCAATCTGCTACCTAACAACCTGAATTTGGGTTTCGGGACTAGCTAATTAATGTTCCAAATGTCCCTGATGACAACATAGACCAGAATTGATGCTCCTCCCTGATACTATCAAGCTAAATTTCCTAGTTAATAAACCAAACTGTAACTATAGAAATATTCCTGCCTATGGAGGAAGTTTTATGAAAGGACCAACACTGAAAAGATGTCATGCCTTGACTAAATATGCAAAGTTTAGGCAAGCTAAGTAAAAACTATTTGCAAAAGTAGTTATTATTCTACAGTATAGAGTAGTATAGAGTATAGCTTACTCAAGAATTCCATGAACAAGTTTTATCACTCTGCTGAGCAGATTTTACTATGGTATTTAGGAGGGCAATGGAAGGCTTGCCTAAATGGACTAGAAATATTTTAAAACAGACTACATTGGAGAATTAAATGCTTGAATTTGAAATTACAAATAGAAATGTAAAATTGACTTAGAACAGAAAGCTTGTTTTCATCATATTCTACAGCAGCAAGGGTTCTTAAGACAATTCCAAAAACTTTTCAACCTGAACTATTTAGATTTAGAAAATCTATTAAAAAGATGGCAAAATAAAAATTGACAAAAGATGAGGAGTCCTCTTAGAAAAAAAAGTCACTACTATAGGCTAACAGCTATAGAAATCAAGTGCATTGCCACACATCTCATTTACAAAAGAAAAACTGTAATATGCCACCATCTGATGAAGATCTTGCAAATAAAACTGACACAATACTCAGGAGTAGAAATATCAATATTAAAGTTTCAGCACAAAAGTTACTCAGTTATCTTTCTAGGAGCACATTGTTTTTCAAGACCTTTAAAAAAAGATTTACACTAGAAGGCTAAAAGTGTATTTTCAAAAGCAAAAGCAGCACAATCAGCCTTTAAAGGGAGGGAAGTAGTGTAAAAATACAAAGATAAAGTTTTATACTGCTTTCTTTATATATTTTTAATTTATCCCTCACTTTTTTTCTCTGCACTTCTTTTTTATTAGTTTGTATTAGTTTTTTATCCTTTCATTTTAAATTTTAATAAAAATTTTAAAAAGCGAGGCAAATGGTGGAAGAGAAAAGGGGAGGAGATAATACTAAAACCCAAAGAAAACTAACAGCATGAATAACAGCATAGACTAACTCTAACACACTTCTTCTCAGGATTATGCTCTGAGGATGACTTTAAATAGTTTTCTCTACCTCAGTGCTCTCAAATCTCTCTACGAGCTACAACTGAGGATTTACATTCATACCTTCCATCTTAAGGACTCTAAATAATGGAAGCTGTTTACAAATGAGAGAAATGAAAATTATTCCTGTAAAGAAAAGAGCAAATGTAAGGCCACATTTATCTTCTGTATAACCTAAAAACCCCTGATGGGAAAGTATGTAGAATTGTGCGAGAATGTTAGCTGGAAGTAAAGGAAGTAAGGAAGTAAACAAGGCTATAAAATCTTAGCAAAGTTCCAGTAAAAAATTTAGTGGGCAGGTCAAGAGACTAAAATTAATAATGCTGACAATAGTTGGATGTAGCAACTGTCGAGGGGATACACGAGAAAAAAGAGGCATAAACAAATATCAATCTTCCCCACCACCATGGTTTCTGTTAAACACATTTTGAAATAGGGCTGAAGGAATAAGCAGCACTACTTGCACACGAGTAGACCCATAACTTACCCTTTCTGATCACCAAAGTGAAAAAGTATCTTCAAAATAGTTGGAAGAAGGAAAAGAGAAATCAATAAATAATTACACTGATAACAAGGCTATTATAGCAACTCATAAAAAATATAAAACATTCTAGAACATTTATTTAACCATAAATATAATTAAACCACTCTTGAGAAAGCCTGCTCTCCCTTCTCCCCTCCCGGCTTGTATTGCACAAAGTCAACAGATTCACCTTGTTTCAGAATCTTGTAGTCATAGTTTTAAATAATGCCAATATTCCATAGCAGTTAGTTTCATTTCAGGGCAGGCTTGCATGCCCATCCTTTGTCCAGATACGTAAGCAAACCAGTCCTGGAAAACTTACCAAGCCCGCGTCTACTTCGGCTTTTCTTTAAAGTCTAATTCGACCGCTCACAATAAATGTTAAGGGCTGACTGGAGTTTTACTAAAGACCAGATTTGAGATGCGCGCTAATAACGTTGAAGTCTCCGCGCTGCGGACTCAAAGGGAAAGCGCAGTCGAGCAACGCGGAAAATAAAGATATCGGACCACGCAACAACCTTCTTAAGACGCGCTTCTTTTCAAGCTCTGCAGTTGCAAGCAAGAAGACGGCGCACAAGAACTCCCGCATTTTCGAGAGCAAGGAGGGACCTAACATTCATTGCAGACGTTTCCTTTGGCAATTGGCCCAGGAAAATGAGACTTGTGAGTTAACGGGCTATGATGAAAAAGAACCAGAAGGACCAAGTGTGTTTCTTTCTCTTTTATAACAAAATGCATGTAAAAATTTTAGCCCATTAATTCAATATAATCTAGTATTACGCATTATGCCAAATGCATAAAGGGGTGTGTGGGTTATGATATGATATGTTGTAATTGTCCATTTTAATACTATATAATTTATATGGGGTTTGTCCTTTGCTTTTCAATTGTATACATTGGTAGACACCACTTTAGCTGTTCTTAAGTTTCCATGAACAAAGAAAATGATTAAGTCTAACCTTGAGAAGGCTGAGAATATATCCAACCCGGTTCCCACTTCGATATTTTTCTTCCTCAAATGTTTATTTCACTTGAGCATCATTCTTTTATATGACTATGTTGCAATTCTTGAGAAATGTATCAAAGAAGTGAGACATGAGAGGAGTGAATGCTTAGCAAGGTTAGGTTAAGGGCTTGACTGATTTTAAACATTTAAGTGTGATAGTAGTTTATAGGCAGTTGGAAAGCATGTGATCAGATTGGGCCTATCAACTGGGCCTGTAAAGGAATGATGTGGTGTAAGCTGAGGGGTGTAGGATGATTATTAAAGTATTTGCTTATGAATGGAGCCATCTAGATAGTTGGCTTCTTTCAATAAGCTCTTTATCTCTTAAGTGCTGGCATGTGTTGTGGGCTATTAAGACTTGGGGGCTGCTTCCTGCCTCTAAAACATGTTTCTCCATTTCTCCTTTAGGGAAATATAATATTCTGCCTTTTTAAATATTTCCCAAAATATTTCATGCTTCTGGGGTGGGGGACTTCCCACACAGGCATGGAGGCTTTTAAAAAAATTACAATAAATTAGGAATGGGAGATGAAAATTACGACAAGTCATTCAAGCTCTTTGCAGTTTATCCTCAAATGTTTTAAAACAATATTCAAGTATATCGTTTTGGGTATGATAGGAGTAAACCAAGAGTATCAAACTCATGTTGTCACAGCATCATCATGTAACGTATCACAACTTTTCCCCCCTTTGCTGTTGTAATGACGAGGCAGTCGAGTTGTTTGATCATGATCAACTGAATCATGATGAACTTTATTGGAGTTTAGTCTTGCATTTGTACACATTTTTAGTTAGCTTCAATCATTGGTTAACTTTGGTCACTGCTTAACTTCCGTTACTGTTTAGCATAGTAAATAACACAATTAATTATCTCTAGTTAAAGTCTAACATATATTTACTTCCTCTCTCTAATCCTCCTTTAGATTAGTGACTTCATTTGTCTGAGTTGTATCTGCTTGGAAATATTCTTTATCTGAGGTTTGCCATCCAAGATAGGAACATTCCTGCAATTACAGCTCTACACTTTGCTAAGCTGTTTGCCACACGTTGATGTGGCCAACAAGTTTGACACCCCTGGAGTAAACAAATGGTCTTCAAAATTAAAAATTGTAAGAGGAGGTAGCTGTGAGAGGAATAAACTATCTTAAAGGAAAACAAAACCAATTGAAAAACAGGAAAGACAAAACTGAATTGAATTAAAAAAAACATCAAATAACCAGGAACTCAAAAATAAGGCAACAGAACATGCTCAAAATCCTACTGAATATTATTTGACACATTTTGCATATATTGTCTGTTAATTTAAATGCACATGCATTGTATGATTTAGTATGTAGAAACAAATATGTAGAAGGCAGTAGAAGAGAGTGTAACCTTATAGTACCTCAGCCAATGGGGAATGAGGAGGGATGTGGAGACTGGTACAGGGCTGTATAAAAAAGGGAATCATTTGAATTGGAACTTTGGAGAGAAATGTTTGATCTCTCAGTGAAAAGATTTTGCCAGTGTCAGGGAAAGGTCAGCCTTTTGCAGTTGTGGAAAGGGAACTTCACGAGGACAGTGGTGTCATCCAAGCAGGAAAAGCCCAAAGGGAACATCAAGCCAGCCATAAAACAAACTTGCATAGGAAAAGGAATCAAATAAAAGGTATTAAAGAAGCCCCTTAAACAAAAGCCCAAATAATTAAGAAAACTAAGGAAACAAGAAAAGAAAACCCTTACAAACACAAGACATGCCAAATCAGCAAACCAAACAGACAAAAGACACAAAATATATTGCAAAGGAGACAGACAGGAGATTGCCACAAAACAAATATAAGAAACCATTAAGCAATAAAAAAAGATTAGGACGAAACCGATAATCCAATCAAACCACCCCGCAAAGTTTGCCTTCTGCACCCCACTGAGTTTACCCTCCAGCAGACATGAAGACAACCCCTGACAGGATTTAAAACATTAAGAAATACAAGCACAAGTACACACACACAAAAGGAGAAAAGGTATAAAAAATCAGGGACTTATCATACAAAGCTAGCTAGCCCAGGAACGCAGACTTCTTGCTATCTCTCGCCTTCCTGAAAAATAAAAAAGATCCAGCTTTCAAGCAGTTGTCTGTATCCTTGCACCGGAGCTCTCCCAGCGGGGAAATCGAATCCTCAGAAGAAAGGCATTTTGTCAGCCTTTCAACACAGTAATAATACTTTACCACACACTTACAATGTACATTATCATTCAGGCCTAACAACCCAACAAGAACTCGAGGTAGTTTCTAGAAACTAAGGAATGTCAGAAGCTCAGAACAGGAAGAGCCTTGTGAGGAGTAAAATCTCAACTCCAAAGTTGTCAGAATACAAAACAATTTTATTGGAGCGTTTGCAAAGATAGGTGGATTTCAATACTTACAGGCAAGAGACGACACCAGTTACAGATCTCAGCATATTTTATACATTCCTATCACCGACCTCTTGACCATCCTTCCCAGGCCCAGTTGATAGGCCCAGGTCAGTCACATGCTAACTGCCTATAAGTTATTACCATACCTAAATGGTTAAAATTAATTATGCCCATACTGTCACAAGCACTCAGCCCCTCTTGTTTTTCTATACTATGCAGTACCTGGCACATATCTCAAGCCAGAAGCTGTTCATATATTCCTTAGCAGGATTCATACATTGGGCAAACATGTCTGGCCTTGGATATGTAGTCATGTGGCTATACTTCAAAATACTGTTCTAAGTAATTTGAATAAAGAATAAACCTTATATAAATGGTATATAAACTATATGTTAGTCTACATTATGGAAAATTACAATTTACTATATTATATCTCAGACCCGGATAAAGAAACACTAAGATGTTGTTTCTCAATTTTTATCTTAAATCACGGGTGTCAAACTCGCCACGTTGCCATCACATGAGGTATCACAGCATTTTTTTCCCTTTGTGGAGCTGGGGTGAGCGTGACCTGCGCATGACGCATCCACTCCACAGGCCGCTAGTTTGGCACCCGTCTTGGAGTGTGGACTTCAGTTCCCAGAATTGCCTAGCCAGCATCTGGAAGGTGAAGTTGATACATCTTAAAGTTGCTGAGGTTGAGAAACATTGCACTAAGGGAATAGTTCAGCTATGGTAGAAATGGAAAATGTAGGTCTGTTGTGAGGAGAAAATAGCCAATTTGTAATACAGTAGTGAAAAAGCAGAACTTACATTTTTTCCACCTCTTTCAGAAACTCAACAGAAACAGATGCAGCAAGATGGCAGCAGACAGCTAGTTAGCCTGACTGACTGACTCCCTCCCTCCCTCCCTCCTTCACTCTCTCACACTCAGGTAATTGCTACACTGCTGGGGTACACTTCATTTTTTTTTAATAGATAAGGAAAGATTATATTGCTAATTTAAACCTATCCAGCACTAAGTGGATTACATCTCAAAGAGACAGAAGGAAATTGTGGAGAGAATTGCAAAACTGTTCTGTTAGACGTGAAGGACCTGTGAGTCTGCCTTAAAAATAGGGGATACTAGTGCTAGATGCAGCCTGTTAGCTCAATGACTTCATCTAAGGAGTGTGCAAAAAGTTACATCAGCTATAAATTTGTGTCTTCTTTCCAGAAAGTGATAAATGAACATTCTGATAAATGGATTCCTCTCATTCAAAAAGACCCATCTTATATTCCTTGTTATAGGCAAGACATCAAAGAAAATGCAAGAGAAAAGGTGATTGGACAGGACAAAAGTAACTTCCCCTTTTTGTGGAAAATCGGTTACATGTGGTCATATATTTCCACACATTCATTAAAATGAAGTCTGATGACAGAAGGGGCATAAATTTTAAGATGTTAATAAGGAAAATGTTTGTTTGGAGTTCACGACAGACCAGATAATAATTAGTGCTAACAAGCTTTCTCTTATCAGGAGACATTGTCCAGGTATCCCATCCTATATCTTATCTTTTCAGTTTAGGAATTTTAGAAGCTATCAATCAATGCAGTCTGTAATGGTTTGAAAACTTCATTTAAAAGAGAGAAAAATAAGTCAGATTAAAATACAAAATAACTATGTTTGTTAGCAAGTATAACAATACTACAAATTCAAAGTTTTTGGTACTACAAAGTCCATCTTGTGTGGTCCTCAGACTAAGCAATTTAGGTTAGATAAAGGAAGAATGAGAGCAGACTCTTTATGATATTTTGCTACCATTAATTAATACAGCTTTCCTGCTACAAAGTCACTGATTTTAACCAGTAATTGAGCATTAAGACTTAATATAAGACATGTGAATCCAATTGTTTTATTGTTCTTAAGGAGGGAGGACCAAAAGGAGGAAAGAGATGTATGTTTTACCTACAATAAAAATGACTAAATATAGTTGCTCCTCTTAAGTATTTAGAATCTCTAAGTATTTAGAATTCCTTAAGTATTAAATATTGATCCTTAAGGCCTCTGAAATGCCTTTCTAAGGGTTGTTCATCTGGACCTATTTTTTCATTCAAATTCTTTTCATTCAAATATCCATCTTCAGTTCTAAGTTGGGAGAAAGACACTGGAAACATGGAGGCTTATTGAAAGATGGTTTATTGATGAAGGAGAACCACATGTGATTCTGGGCAGCTGAACAAAATGGAGTTGAAATTGAGTGGGTTTTTATACCTTCTTTTGGCCTTTATATTCGAGCTTCCTGTTCAAGAACATGTCCCTTAATATGCTATTGGCTGTTTTCAGATTCCCATGGGATCATGTAAGGGTCATAACTGGTTCTATAGGCAAAAGAGGAAATATAAATCCTAGGTGCTTGTCTTAGCTAATCTGGTCAACCTCTGGCTTATCTGAGCTCCCATGTTTCTGTGACTTTGAAGTTTTGACTGCTCTGGGGATGGTGCAATGAAGGGGCTTGTGTTCGGAAAGAGTGTTGGGCAATTCCAATTGATGCTAATGGCTTTTGTCCTGTGTTGGATCTTGGATGAGGGGCTATCATTATGCCTTTGTTGTGCTGCAAGGAGTTTCAAAATATCCTGTCTTGAATAGATTTCTACCTGCAGTATTTGCTTTGCTTATGAATAGAGACATCTAGATAGTTGGTTTCTTTCAATAAGGTCTTTATCTCCTTAAGTGCTAGTATCTGCTGTGGACTATTAAGAAAAACCTGGGGGCTGCTTCCTGCCTCTAAAAACATGTTTCTCAATTTCTCCCTTTGGGGAAATATTACGTTCTGCTTTTTTAATATTTCCCAAAATATTTCATTCTTCTAGGAGGAGGGTGGGGCTTCCCACATTCTATTCTGATTTTCTTTGGAAAACTTTTTTAAATTGTGAATCACTTTTTAAGCTTCACACTGTTATTTTGGAGTTTTTTATTTCCTTTTTTAGTGGGTATTCTATGTTCTATAATATTATTTCTATCACTTAACTTTTACCTATATCAGACATTTTTAAAGACAATGCTATGTATTTAATTTAATAAAACATGCCTTATATTTCTTTTGTCCTATATCCTCTAGAACAGGGGTCCCCAACCACCGGTCCCCGGACCGGTACCGGTCCGTGGAACATTTTCTACCAGGCCGCCGGTTTGCTGAGCGCCGCCATCTTGTTTCGATGAGAAAGTTTTTTTTAAAGACTCCAATTTTTCTTCTTTCCTTTCTCCCAAAATGAAAATACGAAAAATGAACTGCATAAAGTTCTGCTACAGCAGGCATTCGTTCCCCCAAAAAGGAACTCACAAATTACAGAACAAAAAAAAAAGAGAGAGGTAGGACCAGGATATAGGCAGACGCAAAACTTTATATGCAAAAAATAGCCAATCTGGGCGGTTAGGCCTGAGGAAAGTGTGGGGCGGCGGGGAATGGTAACAGCCGGCATGCATTTTTCAAAAGAACCACACAGGCTGCTGAGCCCTGGACAGAAAGAGTGAGCCGAGTAATGTTTTGTTGCTTCCTGATTGACTAATTTCAAGCTCCTGGCTGCACTAATCGGGCAGCGCCGTGTCGCTCACGTGACCTCCAGGAGCGAGATTAAATTCAAACGGCCATGTAGGAGGATATCAGGGAGTCGGTTGCGCCGCTTCTGCGGGAGAATCTTTTTGTTGCAAGGCAAGCGGGTGGGTAAGCGCCGTGAGGTGGGTGGGGCCAGATGGGGTGCCGCTGTTAAAAAAAAAAACTGAGTGAAAACAAATTTAATTTGGATTTAGTGGAAGGACAAGTTTTCCACTTTGTTGGATGGGTTCTAGTTGAATAAATGAAGCCGAAAAGGGGGACTCTTGCTTTGGGATCGCTCGGCTCACCTTGTCATGTGTGCTGATGCCGGTACCTGGCCGCAGATCATTTTGTGATGCCGGTACCGGGCCATGGCATAAAAAAGGTTGGGGACCACTGCTCTAGAACATCCCTTCTAATAGTCTATACCCAGATAACCAGGGCACAGCACCAAATAAACAATTAGAAGAAACAGTACCCTATCAAGGAACCATCAAGATGAAGTTATACCCTCACCAAGAGTGATAACACAATCTACTATAAATAGCCAGCAAACTCCCCTCTCCCCTGCACTGATTATGATAGCTAGAGTGATAATGAAATGTCTGCTGGGAAACAACTCAGCACCAAGAACTCAGGACATAAGCAATTGACAGGCTGTCAATTTTCATTCTGAGGTTTGTAGGGTGTGATAGGTCACTAATTTCTTATCACAATGAGAAACTGAACAACTGTTTTTCTGTGAAAAGTACGTGTCGTTATTCTTATAAAGCTGTTTAAGTCTTTTTTTTTTCTTTGTTTGATGTGTTTCTGGTCATAGATTCACAAAATGTGGGCAATCTAATTAAATCTAGATTAAGAAGGAGACCCTGCAGCTGAAGGTTGTTTTTTTAATTTATCTCAAACTCAGCTGCAAATTCTGCCTCTGAATCAAGATTTTTAAAAACTAGCATGCTTTCTGTCAGTTTTGCAATCCCTTGTAGAAAAAGGAAACATCTGGTACTCCACTGAACTTTAATTAACACTGCTATCCTCTGTACACCTAAAAAACCAAAAGAAATTGGTTCAAAGCCCTAATATCCATTCACAGAAACAACCTATAGACTATTGCACAACTAAAGCCCTCCAACGGGAAATACGTCTTCTCATGTGTCTCCTTTCAAAAACAGCATACTTCTTTTAGTTAGTGATTTTCCCTTGATGATAGCACTAGTTAAAGATCTTATCAATGGAATAAATATAAACAGTACTGGACATGCCTCATAAACAGCTATTATTTGGTTTTATTTGGAAGACACTAGCAAGTTAAAAATCTATTTCTTCAGCAAACCTGTCATTAAGAGGTTGGAGTTACCATGCTGAAGGGAAGTGACAGAGCAGCAGTTACACAAAGTAGATATTTGGAAACAAGTTCTGAATAGCTTGTGTAAGGGGTTGTTTTTCTTCCACCACTTTTCTGGAAATAGTGTGGGTAAGATCAGTGGAAAGGAAACTGGCCACATCATTTTCAAATTTTCTCTGCTCATCCTTTGTTTCCTCACATATGCAAAGCTGCTTCCCATACTAGTGTAGGAAGAAAACAAGTCTCCATTTGTTCCTTCCAACTGGGACAATGTGATCAGCACCAATGAATGAAATAAGAAGTGAGCTGCAAGAAAGGGGGTTTTTATTTTGGAAAGGTGAGCAAGGAGCTGCTGATACAGTTCTACAGAGCAATTATTGAGTGTCATCTGCACCTCTAATAACTGTCTGGTTTGGTTCTGCAACCCAGCAATAATTGTAATCCTTTTCAAAAAGTAATGGGAAGATTTATCACTTATTTTTGCTCACTCACACAGGCTGTTACTAATTCTTCTGGCTGGGAGATTTAAATTAAGTTCCATACAGTATTTAACAGTAAGCTGAATTCTTTTCAGAGATTATAACCTCATAAAAGAAAATTATAATATCAATGCATAGAATCTATCCAACTGATTCAGGGATAGTTACTGCTGGCATATTATACATAATCCTGCAAATACACTGGTTACTCAGTTTCCAAGTGAGAATTGTAGCAACAGCTGACGAACAACATTCCCACTCTGAAGCATTTATTTTATTTGTAAGGCCACTCATCTTACATCTTTGAGCAGCTCACAACAGAGGTAAAACAAGTACTATCAAAGTTAACAACACAGTAAAATTACAAAAACCCTGTGCCTTCATCATCATTTTAGGATGCCCTGCAGCAAACTCCAATTACCCTCATTCTATTCTTTTTGTTCTATTATATTGTTCCAAAGCGTTAGTTAAAAAGCCACATCCTCATGGCCTTCCAAAGGCTAGAAGACACGTGTGCGTATGTTGTCAATTCAAGAGGGGGGGGGGAGTGTTCCACGAGGTAGGGGCAGCCATTTGGCAATTTTAAGCTGTGTGGGATTTCAACCCCCAGAATTCCTCAGCCAACACGTAGGTGAAGTCCACCCATCTTAAAGTTGCCAAGGTTGAAAACACCGGAGAAACGTTTCCTCGGCGCATCTTGTGCTTTTCTTTTCTCGCACCTCCGTATCAGAGGAAACCAGCGCGAGCGCCCCCCTCCCTCACTTCAAGGGCTCAGAAAAACCGACAGTGAGGTAAAGGCCGCGCGCCGGCAGTGACGTTGTTTTTGCTTGCCGGCGGGGGGTCGATATTTCCTCCGCTTCGAAGAGTCGTGCGAGTCTCTTTGCCAAGGTGTCCGGAGGCTCAGCTATGGTGACAGGCGGTCAAATAGGCCCTGCTGGCGGGACTTCCGGCGCGGTTACCCCTGAAGGTTTGCGCGGCTGGATCCGAGGAGCTTATCGCTTTGCCACAGACCGCAATGACTTCCGCAGGTGAGAGAGGCATTGAAGAGCTTCGGGTCTCGACCAGACACCTTACTGGAAAAAAGAGGGAGCGCTTTGCTTCTCGTGCCTTTATAAACTCGTTTTCCCCTCCCTGATCTTAGCACAGGCCGCGGCTGGGAACTGTGGAAGGTTAAAAGCCCAACAATATATGTGCCTCTCGATGTATCGACGTTCGTTAATCTTGAAGCTATAATTGGGAAACACGTGAAGAATTAGGGATTTCAGGGATTACTATTTGCTCAGGAACACAAGTGGTGTTATGTCCTTCTTGGAAAGTTTCCATAAATTAGCTAGTCACTGTGGAATTACCACTACATCTGACAGGCCTTGAGGCACTTAAGCTCTTGTGGCCTTAAGATGTACAGAAGAGCTACATCAAAACAACAGGCATCATGCATTGCCTTCCTATGTATTTTCTTTAGTTTGTCATTGCACCTCATAAAATCAAACACTATCTTCAGTGCACATCATGACCATGAAAATAAACACATCCTTCACTCTCCACACATTGAACCGAAAACCACACCACACCACACCAACACTGCACTATACAGCAGAATTCAAAAGAGGTACTGCCCTGGGATAGAAGCTATTTTTCAACCTATTTGTGCTTGTTTTTATTATTCTGTACCGTCTGCCATATGGTAATAGTTCAAAAAAAGAAAGGCTGCCCAGGATGAGATGGATCTTTGAGAATGTTTTGAACTTTCTTAAGGCAGTGGGAGCTATAAAGCTCTTCCAAAGAGGGGAGAGGGCAACCAGTGATCTTCTGGGCAATGACATTAACCCTCTGGAGTGCTTTCCTATCTGCCACTGTGCAATTGGTAAACCATACAGAGGTGCAGTATATTAAAATGCTCTCTATGGTGCCGCGGTAGAAGGTCACCAGCAGTTTTTCATTCAGTTGTTTTCTGAGGAGTCTCAGTATAATCTCTGCTGGGCCCTTTTGACTAGGGCTGCAGTGTGGGCACCCCAGGCCAGGTCCTCTTTTAGGGTAACACCCAGAAACTTAAAACTGGCCACTTGCTCCACTCTGTCTCCATTGATAAGCAAGGGCTGGATGTCTGATCTGTTCCTTCTATAATCCACTATAAGCTCCTTGGTCTTATTGGTATTGAGGACCAAGTTATTGTCTCCACACCAAGAAAGCAATCGTTCCACCTCATCTCGGTAAACAGACTCACACACACCCCAGATAAGTCCCACCACTGTTGTATCATCTGCAAATTTAGCAATAGTATTATTAGCATGAGTGGGAATGCAGTCATGCATATAGAGAGTATAGAGTAAGGGACTCAACACGCAGTATTAAAAGACTTTGGGTTAGAAAAAGTCCCTCCAAAGCATTGGAGAACATAATTTCTGCAATTGAAAAAAAATTATTTGAAACACACTTTTAGTCCTTCTTGATAGCAAATTCTGTATTAGCATTCTGTATAATCAGTATCAGTTGTCATTAGCTCTCACTTGCATTTGTTACAGAAACCTCATAGTTAATCTGGGACTCTTTGCAGTAGGTGTCTGGGTAGCCAGAAACTTAACAGACATTGATTTGATGGCACCACAACCTGTTGTATAATTAGGTGAGTATATACCATAGTGTGTAATTTCTTAATGTTTCTTCTCATTAAGCAAATTATTCATTTATCTCAACCCCAATTATTAAACTGATTACACTTGTTTTACACAAGCAACTCAGCTCGATCCAATGGTAATGATACCAGACTAGAAACCAGGAAACTGAGTTCTAGTTCTATCTTAGGCATGAAAGCCAGCTGGGTGACTTTGGACCAGTCCAACTCAACTCACAGGGCAGTTATAGGAAAATAGAAGGAAAGAATTTTAGATATGTTTGCTGCCTTATATTATTTAAAAATAAAGGCAGGATTAAAAAATCCTTTAAAACCCTTGTTTTTTTTAGCAAAATACAATGATACCAAAATGACTATCTAGTGACACATATAAGTGCCACAATTATATATTTGTGTCCCAATAGCTCATGCAAATATGTAAGTTATGGGGCATAAAGCATGTTTTGTTATTTTCAGCCCTTCCCTTCCCTAATGTATGAAATGTGCTACATTCATAAGCTTTGTATTGGTTACTTTAAATATCAGCTCTTTATTATTTTTCTTAAAATTAAGATTATGCAAAAATATCTATTTAATTTAATTTTTAAATTTTAATGAGTTTTCTAATATTGCCACAAGTTAATTTGGGAGCAGATGGATTTTTCTCCTGTCCTTGAGATGGAATAAAGTATATTGTTTAAATTCACAGCTTTCACAGCCTACCTTTTATCAGACCTCAGGAAGACAGGTAGTTTTGCTGCCCTCACAGAAAGTAACAGTTCTCCAAAAACAGCTGTGTGAAGAGTCCTACCAATCCTGAACAGAGACTCTGTCCTGCTACAGATAAAACAACTTAGGAAAGTTATATAGCCCTAAGAGGCAGGTGGAAGGTGGGATTTCAAAGCAATATTCTGTCTCCCTAAAGTCAGAAATTCTCAATGAAACATAATTGCCTCAGTAACTAAACCAACTGTTCTTGGGTGGAGGGGGGACAGGCACTCAGTTTGGGCCTGATAATTATTGGCATGCAGCTTTCCAAAAGAGCTTGCTCCAGTCTTTTTTTACATTTGGTATTGATAGTAGGTAAGGGAGATTCAACTTTTCCCAGTCTGGTTTCTGGTGCATCCATTGTCAAGGAGAAAATTTGAATTCAGTCCTTTCTTCTTGTTAGTTGTGCCAAACTTTTCTTCTTCCAAGGCTTTTCTTCCTTCCTATTCTCAAGGCCCCATGTTTATTATTACTCAATGCATGGAATTTCCTTTCAGGAATTCTGGGGGTCAAATGCAGCAAACTGAAAACTGGCTATATCCTTGGAAAAACTGGTAAATAAGAAGCATCAAATGTAATTCTTCGCAGAGGCAGGAATTGAATGAGGTCCTGCAGAGCCATTTGATTTGTATGGCATAGGAATATCAACCTCCTAGTAAATAGATGGTTGGTCTTCCACAAAGTATTTTTAAGTGAATAATTTGAAAACCCAAATTAGGCAGCATTGATGAAGTCCCTTTAGCAGCCGTAGCAAAATTAACTGCCAAATGGTTATTATTCCTACAGCATGCAAATTAGAGCCCCCGTAACTTTCTGAAAGCACCTCCTCTACATGCATGAAAATGTTTGCATGAGGTTTTCTTCCCTTCTCCCAAGGAAAACACTATTTTCAAGCCAGAGTACCTTGGATCAGCTTCAGCCTGCACTTCCAGTGTGCTGGCAATGAGATGGAGGTTTTGCTATAAGGGTATTTCCTCAACAGATGATAAATAGAAAGGAGGCTGTGTACTTGATTTCTACTATAAAAACCCTTTTACCAAGTTCTGGCATTTCTTATACCACAACCATTTTAACATAAGGGAATGGTTGAATGTATTGTTCTTATTTGAAAATGCAGAAGGAAAATACTACCAAAGTCTATAGTTTTGTACAAATATTGCCATTAAACCTGTTTAGACTTTGTGATACGATTTGTTCACATACTGGAATATTGTACGCATATCTAAGCAGGCATTTTAGCAAAGGTTTGTAATTTTATTTGGACTTGTCTGCAAGAAATACATTAAAAAGAGAGATTTGGTATAAAAGAGTATTTAGTGGTGGTTGGGAGACTATTAACTATTAAACTGATTAGAGTTATTCTTGTATCCCTGAAACTACACCCTTGCTAAGAGCATACAGCAAATGTGATGTCTTTTTCGATAAGTGGATTTGAAGATTTAATCTGAGATATTAATTCTGTAGCCTTCCTGAAAATATGAAAATGTACAATCTTTCTTAAAATCTTCATTACTTATCATTAAGCAATTGCAGTCATCACTATGATTAGCTATATAATTTTAAAATGTTTTAGGATTTATTTTACATTCTTCTAGAATAAGAATTTGAAAATGAGAGTTGTGTGTAAGTTATAGATTATGTATTTATGATAAGGCTATATATTGCTTTTATTCAGTTGAGCAGTGCCATCAACCCTCTAATATTTTTACCATTACATTTTTTACAGATTTTACAAATCTGAACTTCCATCTTCTATATGAAAAAATAGCAAGAATTGGAGAAAACAAAGACAATATTTTAACTCTACATCATTCTTCACTATGTTTAATTCTTTGGCAGCATTAGGTTTTATACTCAAATAATAATAGATAACAGTATTCTGTTGTTGTTGTTTTTGCTAAAATGTTTTTGATATATATATATATATATATATACATTATTTTGCAGAATTGAACTGTTAGATTCTGACCTGAAATGTGAAATAAAGACATGCCAGTGCACTGAATTTTTTTCTTTTTTAATAGGAAATTTCAGCTTACAAAACAAGGTAAAAAGAGTAGAGATTTACAAAATCATAAAAACATGATTCATATTTCACTTTTAAAGAAGTAACAAGCCCCAGTCCTGTGTTTAAGTAGGACTATTAACTATTGAACGGAAAAAATACATTTTAAAAAGGCCTAGGTGAGGGTTAATTATGGACAACTTTCAGCCAGTATAACAGTTGTGTGGTGCTTTGAGCTGATTTAAGTTATACACGAAAAAGAATTCTGTTGCATAGCATTTTGATTCCTTGAATTGCTTTATGTGCCTTTCAAGTTAACTGGAAACTATTTATGAAAGATGCATTTTTTAACAGTTGAAATGTTTTACCTCTTTTGGAAGATTGCCACTGCCTTTGCAAGACATCATTTAATATGTTAGCAGAAGCAGAATGATTTTTCATCAGAAGTATTTTTCAAAATATGGATAAAAGATAGCTTAATCCAAAAGATACACAAGCCAATAAATCGATCAGTAGTCATCATAGACAAAATTAGAGAACGAAAGGATATAGAATGTAATCCTGTCAGAGCTGTATTTAATGGACAGAAATATTTCCATCTTTGTGTCACTAAAGGTTCTTGCATTAAAAAATATTTTAAAGCCGCCTAAACATATCAAATTAGATGAAGTTGAAAAACGGATTGACAGACTGCTGGATATTGACAGGTCTGTCCTCTTTTATTCACTTCCATTCTACAAAACCGTGTAGAAGAGGCAGTATCATATACACCGCAAGTGTAGAATAAGACCGCTTCAGTAATTAAGATATAAGTAGTAAAAAGTGAAGCTGTAAATTACTACTCATAACTCTTTCCAAAGAGAAAAATGTAACAATTTTTGCTACTCTTAAAGTAAGAATAATTTAGCAGTAAGAAAAAAGTAGAGAATCCTTGCATTTAGGAAGTACCTTTAAAATCAACTTTTCAGTGTGAAATAGGGTTTTTTTGGTGTCAAAATATATCAATTCTCAGAGAAGACCTATTGAATTTTGTATACCGAAAACCCACAATCTAATCCAAGCATTCAGTATACTTTGGGTAAAAGCAAGTTCTATACAATTTCAAAAAGCAAGTAGAAATAAAGCCTACTTCTTAATTTTAGTCTCATACGGCTAATATACTAAATTTTACATTTTATAGAAATAAATTCTCTGAGTTGATTGGAATGGGAAAAGAATTAAGTTTGTTTGCTGGCAGAATACTTTCTGCTGGAATAACATCAATTCTAAACCCAAACTGCTTCAACTACCACTTCACTTACTAGAAGTTAATTTTTAAGTCTCCCAATTGTTAATAATGTATCCTGCAGAACTAATAATGTATATGCATTGGGATTTCCTAAGTGGTGGTAAACATTTTACTAAGATCTCTATTCATCTTATATTTTGCTGGATTCCTAAATAATAAAATTGATTTTCCTTAAATGTAGAATTATAGCAGCACTAGGAACAAGTTTATGTTTGTCTTTAGTTCCAATCATTTCAATATATGCTGTATTGGATTTGTGAGGAATTTTACACTACGTATCAGGAGTATTAGAAAGCATCCACAATAGTATAATTTTACTATTAAATGTATAGATGTAATAAATTCTTTCGCCTTACTGCTAGGCTGAATATATAGAAGAGGCCATTTTAATTTTACTAAGAAATAGTGGCAATTGAGAGGTGAATTTTTAGATTCAACTGATAATGCATGAGCCTTTCTGTTCAAATGAAACATTTTAACACTTGGTAGTGTATTTAACATCTCCATTTATAATTCCATTTAAAGTAAATTTGAAGAGCACAGTTCAGCCTGCATCAGCATTGTTGCATGCTCTGCATTACAGCAGTCCTGAGCCTATTGAGAGATGCTACAACTCAAAATAGGCATATTACAGCTATGCAATAATAACCATGAATAATCTTATTCAAAGTACTGTATTCAAGAATGCATTTTCAGTTATTAGAAAATTAGATGTCAGGTCCAATTTCATGAAATAGTACTCAGTATATGGTTGATTTGTTAATCATTTTTTATACTGAAACATATATATGCCTGATACATATTATTGAAGAATTATCTGCATGACGATATGTTGAGTCATTGTCATCTTTAACAGAAGTAAGAGAAAGAACATCATGGCAAAAGAGAACCATTATCATGCAAGGCACCAGTCAGTAGTTTAAGAGCCTTTTTCAAACTGCTTTGTCAATAAGCTGCTCTAGGCATTCTTGCCAATTGTATTTTAATTACGAATTACTTGCTTAAAGAGGAATAATCCTATCTAAAAAAAAATTAAAAATAACCACAAAGATTTAACACAAAACCCAAAATGATCTACTTTTGAGCAAACCATTTGCATCATTAGAAATACAGTATTTAGACATATACAATAAAATACATCAAGTTGCTGGTAGGAAACATTTTTCCATTCACATACAGATAAGAAATGTTTAAAAAAACCTCCAAACCTGCTACCTAAGTATTGTAAAGACTCAGATTTGGGAGTGAAGAAACTAAAAACTTGTGTCCCATGCAAAATATAGTTAGGTACAAGGCACCATTTTAAACTTTAAAAAATTGTTCATAAAGATTTATCAGGAGGGAAAATTAATCCTTTTCCCAACTTTCACTCAATCCATAAACATAGTCAACAATACTGTTGGATGTGGCTGCAAGTTGTGCTGGGGATAATTGTTATTTCAAAATTAACTTGTTCACTTTCCTTAGATTTAACATTCATAAAATATGGAATTCTACCAGAGATTGTATATATAGAGAGACATACTTTTTTCTTAACATCTCCTTATGAATCCATACATTTACTTGTGCATTTTAATTTCTCTTTGTAAAAACTTTCCCTGAAAATCAAATGAAAACAGCTCATTTAAAAGCAACAGCAATAAAAAAAGGTCTCCATAGTTCAGCTTTATTGTACAATGAAGAAATATGCTAGGATATTGTCCTAATTAATTTGCTTGAAAAAGTTGGTAATATTTTCCATTGTTATAGGAACAATAGCCATTATTTTATTTTTTTTCCTTTCTTCCTGTGTGTTTATTTTTATTAGGTGCTGTTTATTCTGCAAATTTTTAGAGATAACAGGTGTATCAAATTAAAATCTGATTTATATCTGATTTGATAGTCCTTTAAAAAAGTTATGTCCTGAATTGCTTCACTCAACTTTATTTTTCATCACTAGTTTTGGCAACAGGCACAGAATTAGCTGATTCAGTTTTAAATGTAGCCAGCTTACTTTTGTGGGTAAATTTAAAAGTTGTTTCCCAAAGATTTTTATGCAGAAGTAAGTTACTCAAGTTAACGGGCTTGCTTCCTAGATAGCATTCTTAGGACCATGTTAACATGACTAAACTATTTGCCATGATTTAACAGGTACGTATAGGATTTTAGTCATATCTTTGCTGGTATACTATGTTTTGTGTGAATGAATCACTACTCTATGATAAATATTTTCAAATCAGGGCTGGTTGATCCTGTCAACCCTGCAATTAATATACAAACAAAGGAATTGAATGTGGCTAGAAAAAAAACAAGGGAAGACATGGTATCATTTATTATTCTGTTAGGCTTCGATTATAATGGCAATAGATAGAATTATTTCATTTTCTGCCAACCAGGACACTTTAAAACAGTGTACAAAGAATAGCAAGAACACTGCTTGCAGCAGATATAAAAGAAACAGCATAAAAAATGCTATACACTATCGCTTCCAAATAAAAGCTAATATTACAGAAACCTCAGTGTTGGGAATAGCAAGCTCAATCCAAAAGTAAGTTACTTCCATCTCTCAAGATAAATCTCTTAATTGCACATTTTTATATCTCATGGCACTATTAGCCACATGAGAGACTATGACTTCAAATATTGGGAAATGTAAAACAGTCATGGCTATTAATACACCCACCCCTCTATTATCTTCTTCATATATCTCCTATAAGTGCCAGGTGTTCCTATTTATTCAAATATGGATGTAATACTCAAACAGTATTAATGGAAGCTGTGCCAGCTTTTGATCAATCTTTTTACTGTATTTTTGCTTTTTCTAGAGGAGGGTAACCTTTGAGGCTTCCATAGTTCTGAATACCTCACAGTGATAAATTCTTCATCAGCCATTGCCCACAAGGACAAGAAAGAAGGAGATGGGCACATAAGAGAGCTTAAGAACTCAAATCTCTTATAGAATCCATGAATTAGAGCCACTGAGAACTGGTCTAGCTGCCAGGTGGCATTTCTTTTTCTTTGAGAGTAGAAACAACTGGAATGTTACATGCAAGATATTCTTGATTATGTGAATTCTTGGGGTGGGGTGGAGTTGGGACAAGAAGATATTTTATGGCACTTGATGAGGAAGACAACAAGAAAACAAATAATGGGAGAAAAAAGAATGAGTAAGTGCAAATGGCAGTGGCTGAAAGATCTTAATTTATAAAAATGACCACCTTTCATTTTTCTTTTGAGGAATAATCTGAAAAAATGATAATGAAGCAAAATAAGTGAGGCCTGTACATCAGCCCCAACTATCTTTCCTGGAGATAATCCTTACAAAGTTCTTGCTGTAAAAATCATCGTGCTGATTTTTGTACTGTAATTCACCTTTCAAAGTCAATCCTACCAAAATAAAGCCTGCTCTTGATTCAAGTTTTATTACATTCCTTAAATGTCTTAATAATTACAGTAGTTGAATTGTGAATTTATTATCAAGAATGCTTCTGCTAAAAAAAACCTTTCTGGAATGGAAATTATGTTTTATAAGTCACATCTGGGCTCTGAGTGTTCCTATCTGTTTGACTAGAAACTATAATTTGACAATCAGAAAGTGAATAATAGGATCAAGGCTAATACTGCAAATAACAATCCCATGCACTTCCAATATAGTTCCCAGCAGGATGAGAAGAGACAATTCGGTAGGTTTTTCTTTAATTATTTTGTGATTCAATTTCATCAGGAATTTGCTGGTGGATTTAAAATACCAGATTCAGAATTACCATAAGAAAGCATGTAAAAACACTGCATGTGCCAGAACCATGTCCACTTTTGTTTTTAAAAACCTCCAGCTTCACACTACCATATTTGAGTTGGGCTTCTTACAGATTTCCATAGACATTGATTCCTCCCACCCTGCTGAAAGCTGAATCGTACACACAGCGATTTATATTCTAGGTTGGCTAGTACAAATACAGTCAGCTATTAAAGACTGAATTTTTCAAGGCTATGTACAAACCAGCAAAAGAATCCAGTTCATGTGTTTTAAGTGAATAACATGGGATTTGTATGCTGCACATCAGTACTTCTTAACTGAAAGGCAACAAGTTGCTTAGCTGCAATGAGGTCTGTATTTTCCAAATATGCCCTTGCACTGGAACAGTGTAATCATGAAAGGTTAATAGGTAAAAGTAGCCATAATAAATTGGATGTTAGTGATATTTAAAGTTTACATGAAGTGGTCAGGGGCTTTTCCTTTTAAGATATACAGTATACTAGATTCTTACTGTTAGATTTCCAGAGCTGAATGTATTATGTCACTGAGACAGCAAGAAAAGCAACTGGGGAAAAAGAGAATAGAGGTGTACAATTTAGGTGCAATCTTTCTCTATAAGACTCCAAAATAAGCCTCTTTAAGATTTCCCAAAAATACAACGAAGGGAAAACTGAATGGAAAAATGGTCATGAAAAGGAGGTTAGGGTGAAATGAACTTGTCACTCTATGTAATGGCTACTATATTCCTGACCATTTTTTCTTGTATATGCAAAAATTTTATGCGTTTAGGGTAAGAGTTGATTTTTAAAAATCTGTGTTTGTTGAACCACGTGTCAGTAATACTAAAAACCTAAGCTTCACTGTGAACCTGAATGGATTCACAAGACCTATTCATGCAGTGATCATCATAGGATAAACAGTAGATGATGGAAGTCTTGAAAGTAATGTATCCTATAGTAAGTATTATAATTACACAAGAAAAGTTAGGTTGCAAATTCAGTTTATGTAGCTGTCTTGTTAGCAGCTAAGAATAAGATTAGGTGGGGGAAAAAACTACTTGTAATTTTTAGCATAGGTTCAAATTGAAGTATGCAACAAATTACTCAGATATATATATAATTTCCACTTTTGTTCTAATAGATTGGGGTAATTGTAGGGCACAAACATTTGTTTTGTTACCTGAAAGATATAAACAAGGACCAATGAGCATATTTTCCCAGTTTAGAAAAATCATTGTTTTTGTATAGTACAATTCTATCTACCTAGATTATGTTGGTTGGAAAGAACAATGTATAATTGGTGAGTTATTTACACCAAGAAGTGTAACAACAGCTCACCACATCAACAGAACAGAGATAGAATTCTACTATTCATTTATTTTCTTAAGTAATGTATAGATTTATGGTCAGTTTAATGGCTTTGTATCCTGTCTGTACACAGAAGTTTTGAATGTACCTACTTTTTCATACCACATAACAATTCCTCTTTGAAAGAAGAAAAATGGTCATACACATTGGAGGCTGTTACTCTTTGTTTGGAGAAGGAAGGGTTTACAAATGCATCTGCCTTTTTTAAAAAAAATAGATGCTCTGCTACAATCTTATAGAACTGAGTTGCACATAGTAGGAGAACAAATTTTCCAGATGGTGGATCCAAAATTCTTGCAACAGTACTTGTTCTTGCCTAGCCGAATTAATTCCAAGGCTTTTGAAAAAGAATCAATTGATTGAGAATAATGTCTCCTTTCAGGGGAGTGTCAGTCTTCTAACATTGTGTTTAGACAGCACCTGAGCTTGAAGTTGTGTTTCTGAGATACTTGCTCTGCCCTGTATAGTTCTTTGTGTATAAAAAAGAATGTACGCTTGGGTTTTGCATACCTCCTCCACGCTACATACATTCAGTTTGGAGTCATTGCAGTGGACCCAAAACCCTAAAAAGGAGAAAAAAACATAGAATATTAATGGCAAGATTGTGATCCAACAAATTATTCTTAAATAGTCATTGGGGCAAGACATCCAAAGAATAATGCCAATCAATTCCATAAGAGAAGGTTTGAGATTCTGATTGTGCCTTAAAGACTCTATTGATCTCAGTTTTTCAGTTTCATTGATATTTCTGAATGATAGTTAAGAGAAAAAAATAATTCTAATTCTTCCTACTGGAAAAATGTAATACAAACATTTTATTTAAAAAAATGCAATAACTAATTGGAAACAAAGCAATTAAATTCTTCAAAGCAGATTTCTCAAAAGTTTTTCAGCTTAAGTAGTGGCTCTGATTCTGTTTCACATGCGCACACACAAGCAAAAAAAGCAAGCTTGAGAAAGAAAGTAACCTCTTTTTTAAAAAAACAAGCAATAAAGTTTCTCCTCATTGTGTTTAAGCAACAGAAACCTAATAGATTTTTTATTCCAATGTTATTATCAGTGCACAGTGAAAGCTGAGCAATATAAATTCACACAAAACAAGTATGTTTTTATGGAAGAGATAAATTTATAAGATGCATTAATTTTCCCCCTGTAATAAGGCTCACGCACCTCCCTCTGTGTTGTAGCAATATGCCGTGTAATGTCCTGAGCCAAACCCTTTCCCGTGATGCATCACCACAGCCGAGAGGTCATAGACAAAGGTCTCTTTGTCAAGAGAGGAGAAAGTATCCCTGCAGCAGTAAGGTTCCATGTTTAATACCTGGTCAAAGAGGACATGGACCCCAATCTTCTCACGGTGATTACGTCCAGACCACCTGCAATTTGAAAAAAAATTAATCAAAAGGACTTTTAAAATGAAAAAAGATCTGATGCAACATCCTTGAAAAAATTAATATACCAATTATTCTCATTATTTTATACATTTTCAACTAATATTTTTTTCAAATTTGATTGACATTCATTTAGTGTTTTTAAATGCATTTATGGTAGGGCTAAGGTTCTTAATGTCCTGGGAAACTATCAGCACTGATTATGCTGCCAAATATAACAAATTCTTTGTTGTTCTAATCATTTAGTCGTATTCTACTCTTGGCAACTTTATAGGAAAGTGGCCTCTATTCTACTCTGTAAAGCAAAGGTTTCTTTCAATTTTTGCAAGTTCAACTTTGTATCAGATTTGATGTTACCAAATCAGCATGTTCTTTGTGTGCATTCCATTCTTCTTGTTCCACTAACCATTCCTAGCATCATTGCCTTCTCCAATGAATTTGCACGTATGACTTAGCCAAAGCAAATCAGATGTAGTCTTATGATTTTAGCTTCTAGTGATGTGTCCGGTTTTATACAATTAGCACCTCTCGGTTAATTGCTCTGGCTGTCCATGGTATGGTATACGCAATAATTTACACCAGCATCATATTCAAAGGCATCAAGTCTTCAATCAGCCATTCTGTGTCCAACTCTCATAATCATACACCATTATAGGGAAAACATTTGCTCTAATTAGTCTGCTTGTTGTATTTATATCAATATCTCTATTTTTCCAGATCTTATTCATGTTAACCATTGAGTATGGCTTAAGGTTTTCCTGTGCTTGATTTCAGAAGTAGAACTGCCACCGTGAACAATTTTGGATCCAAGGAAGATAAATTTTTGAATTAACTCAATTTCCTTCTTGTTGATTTCAAATATCTCATGTCCATTTGCAGCTGTTGTCATTAACTTTGTTTTCTGGATGTTAAGACTCGATCCCACTTTCTCACTTTCGTCCTTGATCTTTCAGATTACTTTTTCCAGGTCTTCCTTATTTTCAGCCAATTGTCTTATATAATCTGTGTACTTCAAATTATTTATGGTTTTCCACCCAATCTTAACTCCAACATCAGTCAATCTGAGATCTAATTTCAGCATGATTATTTCAGCATACAGATTGAACAAATAAAGTCATAAAATACGTCCCCATCTAACCTTTATGGCAATAATTCAACAAGACTCAAATAACAAATGTAGTTATTGATATATACTTCCTGGAAGGAAGGATGTTTCTTTTCCCCTTTGAAACCTGTATGTATAGAACAGCATACTATCTACTGACTATCAATCAGCTCTACAAAAGAACTCACATTACTGTAGTTAATACTACAACAAACTTTTTCCACTATGGCTTCCACCAAGCATAGAAATGTTGTGAAGAAACCTTTCAGAATCTTCAAAGAAATGGAAGCAACAGACTTATTTATTAAAATTATATAAATATAAAACTTCTCAAAGGCCAGAAGTAACTTTTCCTTTACTGTAAACTGATCATTAAAAGAAACATCATGCTGACTTCCAGTTTGAGCTTCTTTGGGGATGGACCGAAATCCACGATCATGCGCCGTTTCGATCTGTGCTTGCTGCCGGAGCGCCCCAAGCTGGCTGGATTCGGGGCTAAGCCATCCTGTAGAGGTGGTGAAGAGGGGGGAGACTGCCAGCAGGGTCGAGGAGAGCAGCATCACTCCTCCTCAGCTGGTCATTACTCCCTTTCCTGAAGGCGGTTGCAGTGGTGGTCAGAAATGGCCACCTCAGAGAAGAACTCGATCGGAAAAGAATGTGCAGGAGGAAGATAAGAAGAAAAAGTTTGGGTTGACCGGGTTGAACTGAAAAGCAACAACGTAAGGTACCCTGGAATTTGAACTATAAAAAATAACATTGTTCCCAAAGAAGATTTTGAAGCAGTGAAGGAGAGAGGGAAGGGAAAGGATTTTTTTTTCTTCCCTTCCTTATACTGACAGCTAAGAGATTTAAGTAAGAAATAGACAAAAATCCACTTTGACATCAATAGGCATTTAAGCTGAAAATAAAATGTCAAAGGGATAATAAAGATTTTTGGATACTCAAAAACCTTTAAAAGCAGGAAGGGAGAGAAAACGAAAGAACAAAAGGGCGGGATCTGGAAAAATGGAGGAGACTACCTGGAACTAAAAGGAACTTACAGTGAAACTTTAACAAGATTCCTAAAAGATACATTCTAACTGAAACTTTGTAACAAAATAATAGAACCCCAGGAAGAGAAAGTGGAAAAAAGAAGCATGAAGAAACAGCTTTGGATTATTTGGATTACTTGGTGATTTTTGGATTTTTGGCTATTGGATTTAAATGACTAAAATCAATCGGGTGGTTGTTTAAAAGTGTTTAAAATGGCATCACTTTTGGAAGAACTGAAAATGGAACTTAAAAAACAAAAAGAAGATGCACAAGAAGGAAGAGGTTCTTCTAGCTTTGTATTTCAATTTTTAGAAATGGAGACTTGGAACTATGAGAAAAGCCTGTAGAACAAGAAGGTCGGGACAAAGAAGAAGCCATCTTTAATGATCAAGTAATTCTATGTGGAGGAAAAAAAGGAAAGGGGGGGAAAGAGAGTTTAAGATTTGAAAAAACAACCAAAAAGGAATAGTTTGAAAAATAATTATAATATTAGGAAGCAACAGAAGAGAGGATTACAGAAGAGAGAATTAGAAGTAGAGAGACTAGGGGGTAAAAAGGGAAGGGACAAGAAGAGGGGGAAGAAGGAAAAGAAAAGAAGTTATAAAAGATAGAAACAAGACACAGAGAAACAGGGAAAATGTATAAGGATTGAAAGCATAAGCCTATTTAGAGATAATGGGTGAAAATTTAGTTGAAAAAGGGATTCTGCAAAGGTACATAAGATAGTATTGTTATATTAGAAATAGAAATACTTTTAAAAAATATGACACAATGTATGATTAAATTGATGGATAAAATACTTATTGTAATGCAGTGGAATGTTTGTTAATAAATGAAATAAAGAGAATGAGAGAATGAAATTAGGAAAGGATGGGAACATTTTAATTATTATTAATAATTTATAAAAATATAAGTGAAGAGAAATATGGGGAAAAAAGAATTAATTATGGAAAGTCTATAAGCGTTCCCAAGGAAATATGATATTCAATTGAAAAGAAATGTTAAAGATGTTAAGATTGTAACTAATATTAATGATTGAATTGAAATGGAATGAGTGTTCGGGTATTTTCTCACATCATTATAGTTGTGCTTTTAAAGTTGTAGCAACTTTTCGGCAGAATCTCATCTGCCATCATCAGGCTTCTGTATTGTGTTCATCTGTGAGTCAGACTTTCACAGCTGTTTCAGTTTTAAATTTGGGGCTAGCCTACTGCTGTGCCAAAATAGTTTTTTCTTAATCCTGATTGGTTGTTAGTCTTGGTCTGCGTTTAGTGGTCTTGGAATTTGCTGTGTTTTGCTTGATTGGTATTTTTAATATCTTCTGTCTGTTTTGTGGCTTTTTTTGTTTTGATTGGCTGGCAACAATGTGTTCCTGTATTGGAGGCTTTTAGTGCAGCTTGGCTCCAAGTAAATGGACGGCTATCATTTATTAGGAAGCTAGGTTTCATCTGGGTGCCTGGTTGGGGTGTGTTTGAGCTGGAGGTATCAGGGGGGATCTATTTGTGCCCAGGTGTTTGCCTGGCTTGTGGTGTGGAGATTTTTTTGTTTGTGAGTGCAGGCTTCCAAATAATTGACAGTCTGGTGGAATCATCTCTTCTATTCATGCTTTCGGGTCTTTTTTCAATCTCTATGGCTTCTCTGATAATTCTGTGGCTGGGGTTTTCTATAGTGACTAGGGTTTTGGCACAGCAGTAGGCTAGCCCCAAATTTAAAACTGAAACAGCTGTGAAAGTTTGACTCACAGACGAACACAATACAGAAGCCTAATGATGGCAAATGAGATTCTGCCAAAACGTTCGCTACAACTTTAAAAGCACAACTATAATGATGTGGGAAAATAACCGAACAAAGCTGAATACCATACATGTAAGTACCCACGAAAACTTAAGAAAAGAAATATAACAGATATAACATAGTGTGTATTTTAAGAATGTACCAAGCAGAATGCGACTGGAAGTTATGTACTACCGGTATATTGAATGTTATAATTCTAAAGGCATAAACTGAAGTTTAAATAAGAGTTGAATGGATACAATTAAAAGATATAAAGGTGTCATATTCCAATTATTAACTACAGGGGAAAATTTGTTTAATGAGAAAAGATAATATGAAATTGAAACAGGACAGACAAAAGTATAAATATAATGATTAGAAAGATATTGAAACTTAGAAAAAGATATATAATTGAATTTAGATATGAGACAATTAAAAATAAAGCTGAGAAAACCAAGGGAGGGGAAAAAATTATGGCCAAATATTAAAATAGTAATAAGATATGGAATAGAACACAAAGATGAATATGAAATTGAGTTTGTGTCTGTATGGAGAAGTGATAACCGGGAACCATGCTATTCTAAAAAAAAGATGTTTTATTTGTATTATGTTTTTGTGAAAACCCAAATAAAATTTATATTAAAAAAAAGAAACATCATGCTGATGAATATTTTTCCTAATTTTGCTAATTATGTAATTATGCAATTCATTGCAATCTGTGTTTGAGTCTCCTGTTTGATGAACATCAGCATCCACAAAAGAAACAATAGTGCTATTATCACTTGCTTCCCAAGTGATGTTTCACTTGAAAAACACAAAGAGCTGCAATTGTATTACTAGCATTTTCAACTGCTAAGTGTATAGACATACTCCACTAACAGCAGTATCCCAGAAGCAGTATCCCAAGGCAAATGGCAGAATCATTTTGTATCATTTCTATACATTAGAAATATATATTAGAAATGTATATTTTATACATTTCTAGTAGATTTTAATGTCAAGTTTTAGAAAGTCTTCCCTTAAATAGCAACTTAAAAGAATTCTAGCATGCAATAATATTAATCCTTATACAGTAATTAAAAGAGGAATTAGCAATTTTTGCAAAATATAGCAGATATTTAAACTTGGGAATTCTCTTTACAAAAGTAAATATACATGAAGAAAGAATATAATGGGTTTTTTTCCAGAACTGTTCAGCAAAGTATACTAATATTTTACTATGCATCATATTTTTACAACTAACTACTTCCTTTGTACTCTGTAACATTTATTTCAGAAAAATAAAAAAGGAATGTAAAACTTTCTTCCAAAAGTAATATGATATATAGGTGTTATATTTAGTACTCTAGAAATAATATAGTAATAACTATACTTCCACTTCAAATAGAAAAATGACTCTACATTTCTACCACCTTTTATTCACCTGAATCGTTTAAGGTGCAGCCGGAGGACCTGAGGTAGTCTGTAGATCATTAACTGCTTTTTAGCTTCACTTAGAATAAGAGGTTTGGGAGAAGACTTCCGTCGTTTGCCTATGTAACGTTTAAGAAAGAACACAAAACGTCATGAGTTAAAGGCTTCCATCGTCCAATATAAAAGTTGCACCCAACAATCTGAGATACTGTCTTGAATTTAGATTAAAGATTATGGCTTGCTGAAAATGGTGTTTCCATTTTCAGCAAGCCATAATCTAAATAATAAAGGTGGGAAGGATAAACATTCCTGGAACTTCTGCTTATACCTTTTTCAACTTTTTTAGTTTTGGTGGTTTGGGGAGTTGCTTTTTAAAACTTTAATATATCTATTTTTAGGGCTATGGTTTCAGTTTCCCACATAAAAATGGTGGGACTATTACTATTTATTTTCATCAAGGAAATTCCAAGGACCACAAAGAAGGTGCTCAAGTGATTTGAGGCCTTGAGATGCAGGTTGCTCTCTCTTGAAGTATGGGATTGTAGCCCAATTTCTTTAGCTATATATGGACTAGTTATGGATTTCAAAACCAATTTGGTTTTCATTTCATGAAGGAATTAGCAGAAGGGTTATATGCTCCGAATTTTTAAAAAATACCAATTAAAATGTTAAACATAGAATAAAAAATAAGAGACAAGCAATAAAGCAGTTTGCCTTTCTTTGCTATTTAAAGGACAGCCTGTGCCAAATGTAGTGTTTCTCTTTCATAGTTGACCTCTGTGGAACCAATATATATGCACTATTTTTTTGAGCTTGTGAAGTGCAACATGAAGCTTGAATATATGCATTGCACTACTCCACTGCTGCTAACTTTAAAGTTCTAAATACAGAAAATTCAAGACAGTATCTCAGTTCAAATTTGAAATCTACCCGCTCCTAGTCATCTATATATACTATAACATGTCAAGAATTCATGACACGATTAGAATTATCATTGTCCTTCAACTATTACAGATAGTCCTCAATTTATGACCACTTGGTTCAGAGACCATTAATAGTTAAAATGGCACTGAACAAACAGTACTTAAGATTGGCCCTCAAAGTTATGACCATTGTAATGTCCCAAAGTCACATGATTGCCATTTGCAACCTTCCTTGACAGTTTCCCACCAGTAGAGACAAAGGAGAAGTTGGCAGGGAAAATCACAAGTCCCTCCCACTGCTTTTTCTCCTGAGGAGTCTGTCTGTGAAGTTCCTAGGGATCTCATACTCTGAAGCACCACCTATCTGTTCTCTGTAGCATGTGCCCACTGGTAGCACCACTTGCTTCTTAGTGTGAATCCCTGGCAGCATCCCCCACAGCACCCACCCCTTAGTGCCTACCCATGGCTTCTGCTAACACATCTGTAACCCTCACCATCCCACACACACTTCATAGAGCCTGCCTATGGCACTCACCACCATCTCTGTGGCACCCCCATACACCCCTATGATCCTTGCCTGGGACGTCTGCTTCTTCCTACTTAATGAAACATGCTCCTGGGGTTATGACAGTTATCAGGATTGCCAGAAGTGCCATCACTAAGTGATGTCACGTGACATGACATTTTACAACGGCATCACTTACAGATGGAAGTTCTGCTTCCTATTGTCATCATAACCCAAGGACTGCCTGTATTGCTTTCTCCCCATATGCCATTCCTTTTATTTTTTTGAAGGTAAAAAATTCTAAAACTGGGGTGCACAACTTTATCTAGGTCATTAACTAGATATGGGCTTTAGTGGTATGTCAGTGATTGAACTCCAAAAACTGGATGGGTTCCAGACAAAGAACTAAGGTGGAAAAAATTAAACAAAGAACTAAGGAGGAAATGATTAAATTATAATGCAACATAATTATTCCACGGAAGTATTTAATTCTCCTTCTAGCTTCTAAAAAGTACAATTTGATAGCAACATCTGGAAAGTTTCTAGGGACAATTACCAAAGTTGTAGGGTAAGATTGGGCAACATTTTAATGATCAGGGCCATTGTACATTTTTTAAGGGAGCAGGATTATAATTGTTGATCAGTGAAGCAAAGTGGGCAAGATCAAGCATATATTCTTTTTCGATAGCCCAACATTTTTCTGATTCCCCCCCTTTCTTTATAGGATAGGAATTTAGGATTTTTAATTTGCTTTATTTATGCCTTAAAAACATACAGCTATGGTTGCCTCCTAAAAATGGCAGTAAACAGTATCTCTGGTTTCTGACAATAGTGATTGAAAAAAAATTTTTGGAGATCCCAAAACAAAAGCTTAAGGATTCAATCTAATTTTGGGATCTTATTCACCCATTCCTTTTTAATGAATTATAATCTGTGCAATTGAGATCTAAAACAACTATTTCTATCCTTTGAGAGAAGGCAGTCTCTTTCAAGAAATGTTGTTTTCTTGTATCTCCAGCATATTTATTAGACATCTCAGCAATCTGCCAGAATAAATTATAAATTTGTTTTCTTTGCTTTGTTTTGGGAAAGAGAGACAAGACACTGGGATCTGTGGACAATTCTATATGGGAATAAAATTATTTTACAATCTATGATCAATTTTAATTGCTGATATTATATAAACATTATTAATAACTTTTCTAAACTCTTTCACAACAATTTAAAAATAATGAAAGAGAAACTATACCAAATTTACTTATCTGGTATTATCTAGCTGTATGGGACTTACATTTCCAGAATTCCCATCCAGCAGGATTTATGACTGTATTGACTGGGAATTCCATGATTTCATTATGCTATACATCTGGAAGCACCTTCTTAAAAAAAAAAACCTGAGCTTTATAATTATAAAAACATACAAGGACATTTCTCAACAGATTCAAGGAGAACACATAGCAAAACAGATTTTTCTTACTGTTACACTGGTCACATGCATAAATTCTCCCTTCCAAAGCTTCTGTTTCTGTGAATTTGGCCAACATTTCAGTCAGCATGCACTCAGTCTGATTAAGAGGCACAATCCCTTTATTGATAGAATGATAACGTTCTGGAAATTCCAGGGAAAGATCCCAGAAGGGTTCCACAGTATTGGATTTATAGTTACATGTTATACAAGTGACCTGTCAAGGAAAAAAGAATATCAGAACATTCCAATAGAGATGAAAATTGTGATTCCCATGGACTTATTTTCCAGTCTGAAATGATCCAAATCTGTAACCATCCATAGGATATTTTGTTTTAAAATTCTGAGATAAAAAGAATCATCTTCAAAAAGGCATTGTTGGATTTTACTATCTTCATACAACTCTCTAGTATAATAATCAGTTTTACTCTACTGGAGTCTGTGTCTAATACAAAGACTATTCTATTAGCATAATCAAATGTTAATTTTAAATGTTTTTAAAGAATCCAATTATTTAACAATTAAGCAGGAATAAGATGCTAATTTCAGATCCCTGGAATCTCCAAAATATTGCACTGCTGAAATGTCAATATCACTCTCTCAGAACAGTCAGTAATATAAAACAGGTTAAAGAAAGATTGTTATTCAATTTGCTAGGTTTTATTAGGAGACCAGTTGCCACACTCCTCTATGTAAAAAAAAAATGATTCCAGCTCTGAGCAAGCCCTCATTATGACTCTCTCCCACACTTCCAGCATTAAGAAAAGTGGTGATCTACTATAGATAGAGTGAATAAAAACATATAGAAATCAGAGACTGTGAAAGGTAGCAGTTTGAAGCTCACTTAGCATAATACCAATGATCACAGTTACACAAGAACAAATTCATATTTATAGAGTATATAAGTAAAAAAAATAAAATATTCAATTCTATTTTAAGAAAAGGTTATTTTGGCAAAAATTCTTTATGGCTTAAAATATAAAACCAGCCTCACTCTATCAAATATGCTTTTAAAGAAATGTTAAAATTTATAAAAGACATATCAGAATATACAAGGGTGTATATTTAAGGAAAGAAGAAACAACAGTCCTACCTATACTGGTCATAAAACACCATAACAGAAGCAAGAATCTGAAGAGGAAGAATCAAGTCAGTCCATAAACACACACAGACTTGTCTGCTAAATTTTAAAAGCTCACCTTTGGCTGCAACCAGAGAAAAAGAATCATGCAACAACCATACTGCATTAGAAAAATACGTTAATTCTTTTTCTAGGTATGTAAATGAGTATTTCTGGCTGGGCAAAGGATGGATAACATGCATACCTGACTGAGTAGCTGCCCGTGAAAAATGGTGTTCACCACTTTCAGGACCTGCTTGGTGATCTTCCTTTGTGGAAAAGGGATAAGGATCCTACGTTTTGTTCCTTCTGATTCCAGCTCTTGCTGCACTTTGTCCAACAATTCACAAAGAAATTCCTGAGCATCTTGCTGATCATAACCCCGAAATGCTGGAATCAAACTCCATACAGAGTGTAGCATGGCAAAAGGAGACACTGAAGCCCACTTCCCAGACCACATAACTCTGAAGAGTGTGTGCAGTTCATGACAAAGAGAGATGTGCTTTGAACTTGGTTCCTTGGGCTGTATTAGTTCTAAACTTTTGCTTATTGAGGACCCACCATTTAAACCAACAGATAGGCTCTGCCTGCCAAACGAACCTAGTTGATCATTTCTGCCTGACTCCGTTGGAGTAGATCCAGTGACTAGCTTTCCAGATATTCTAGATTTTCCAATTACAGTCTTAGCTAAGAGTTCTTCTGTTTCACAAAGATCCAGCGTCAGGAAACATTCTCTAAATTTCTGGAGGTGACTTAATACTTGAAGGATAGAGTTCATGTAGCACGTATTTCCTAAATTCTTTAGTCCAGTCACACCAGGAGTCATAAGAGGTTTACGTCGGATGGAATAGAATTGTTTGAATTTGCTACTCTGCACTCGTCTTGAGGTAGGGGAAGTTGCTTCCATATCTCTGAACTTCCGAGGAATCAGATTTTCTCTGTGAATGTGCGATAAAAGCCTGGCACTTTTTCTGGGAGGAGTATTTGCCAGCTCCTCTAACAATCTCCGTTTCATCTCTTGACGTCGCTGTCTGGCCACTTCCTTTTTTCTCTCCAGTTCTTCCATTTGCTTTTTTTGTTCTAATTTTCGTTGACCTCTAGAACTTTTATCAAACCAAGTTCGCAATGCTTTTGCAAGCAACGATTGCCGTCTATACCAGAGAGCTGTAAGCATCTGAGGTTGTCCCTGAGGGGCTCTTTGATTGTTGCAAACATCCTCCCCCAAAGCCATTGACCGCAATGTCCTACCACTTCTAGCAGAAGGATCATGCTTCTGACTTTTAACTGCAGACAAAGAACTCCTCAGTAATTTCAGGTCACCCTCGGGATTATCATTCAATACATAGTCTTCACAAAGATAACAAAATACATACAGATCATTTACTTCCATAGCCAAAGGATGTCTGGTCTCTTCAAAGTGTTTAAGTGCATGGTCCTCAATATATCTTCCACATGCCACATGGGAACATTTTAGGCAAGCCCAAATGGATTCCGTGGTGTTACAGTCCATGCAGTACCACTTCTGGGGGTTCAGAATGGAATGATCCTGGGCAAGTCTTAGCCGCCCAACATGTTTGCATCTATCCATGTCTTATATAAAACTCCGCTGCTTTAACCTTACAAAGGAGGCAGAGAAGAATGTAATTATTGCACACAATCAAAAATATACAAATTCTATCATTTTCTTCAGACCACCACATGTTTGTAGAGCTTAATAGATTAATAAAATAAGAAAAAGGAGATTGGATAATTCCAGGCATGTACTTTTTTATTAATTATCTGATCATTACATGTTTATTCTTGTGGTTAGAGTAAAGCAGCCAGTTGGGAAACTAGTGTACTTCCTTGAGCAGTTGATTGGCCACTGTGACAACAGACTAGATGAGTGAGGAGTCTAATCCAGCCCGACACAAGTTATATTTTTACATTTTGCATGTATATATGTTTTTATGAATGAATATATGTTTCATTTAGTTAATTCCTGTTGTCACATAAAATCTAGTGTTCCAGGGAAGGTATCTAACATAAGTATGACTGGAGGGTTTGAAACGTGACAGTGAGCAAAATTTAGAAAGTTATAACAAATATTATAATATTTTTGCTCTTCAGCAAGTCACTGAAAGTATAAATGTGGAAAGGAAGGGTTTTTTACATGTGTCTTTTTAAAGAAAACATATTATAATATGAATTAGGCTTCAATTATAGAATCCTTTGCAATAATATGGAGATGAATGCATTGTTGCTAAATGCAAGAAAAGTGATGTGAAATGGAACTAAAACATCTATGGGAATTAATGGAATACTTAGCAAACTGTTCAACACTGAGCAAGGAGTTAGAAAAAAGATACATGATACATTAATAGGTAATTTTCATCCAGTGTTCAACCTTTTCTTTTTAGGGAAATTTTGAGAAAATAGTAGGCACAGAGTTTTAGAGGGCCCTGAAAAAAGTGGATTATTTGGATCTGGATCAGGATAAAGTATGATAGTGGGGCAGTACTGGTCGTATTTGAAGTTGACCTTTGAAATGCTTGAGATGAGGTGGTACATCCATCCTAAATTTCTCAGCAGATTTCCATAGCATTGGTGTAGTATCCTTCTGGACCAGCTTTAGGGGTTGGAAGTATAAGATACTGTTTTGCAATGTTTCTCTCCTTTCGCCAAGGCCAATTCCAGTCAGTGTTGGTGATATAAATTGAATGCATATTATGAAAGAAGAACAACTAAGTCAATAACAAGTGTTGTTATCTGTGTGCAAGTTTGCAGAAAGGTATCTTAAATATTTAAGAATTTGATTTTGTAAAAAAAAAAAAAAGTTCAGAAACTCAGGATTCTATGTTAATCATTAAAAAAGCATTTTCATGTTATGTATGAAAACTGGGATTTTAGTCTACATATATTTTTGCTCTTTCAAGATTTAGGAAGTTACCAGTATTATAAAGTGATTTCATGAAACTTGCATCTACAATCAAAACTGCTGGTTATTGTTTCACTAAAAACTTTTGGCACAGAAATCTATATAGGCGGCCACACGATCAAAGGCGCTTAAATTCAAGCAGGTTGATACAAACCAAAAATTAAGCAAATTAAACCAAAACCAAACCAAAAATTAAGTAAATAATGTCTGGAGAGAAAATATTCTAAGTAAATATGGTGATGATAGGTGATGGTAAAATTATTTCATTAAAGGATTTTAATTATTGATATCTTTTTACATAAAATACTTTTTTAAGTACAAATTGCTGTGGATGTTTTTAACAGACCGTTTACTTAGTAGAAGAAAAATGCAGATCATTCTACAATACTCTAGTTACATTGAAGAATGGCATTAAATGATTCAAAAGAAAAATAATGTGTATTTTTAGGATGGAAGCAAATATAGACAGCTGCGCCAAAGTAATAAATTATACTAAAACACTCAACAGTATTTAAATATTTATCTACAGTTCTGAATACTTTCAAGAGCAACTACATTTATAAATAAAATTAAAGCTGTTGAGTAATAATAATATATGCAAGAAAAATGTATATCAGTTTGGAGAATACACAATATCTATTTTGAGTCCATATTTATTTATAATAGCCTTTTAAGATGTCTAATATCTTTCTCAAATTTATTGTTAAACAATAAGTTGGTTCCATAATGGAAAAACTTTTAAAGATCTACTACAAGAACTGAAATTGGCAAGATAAAAATCAATTATTGTCAGGCCTGAAAGAATTGTTATAAAAATATGAAACAAGTGTCTCTAATTTACAAGATTTGGAAAAGATTAACACAAGTCTATTGATTTTAAAAAGTAGGAGGAAAAGGGCTAGAATTGCAACATGAGCTTGATTTTATTTCTACTATAGAAAGGCAGTAGGCAGAACCTACAAAATATGGTACATGAATTGTCAGTAACATGACAAAAACATGGGGCATATTAATGAGCAGCATGTAACAATTTTTGCAGTATATCAATAATAATGGAAATGAAATGCAAATAATTGCAACAAAAGCAGCTTCATGTATAGTAATGATTTATTACTTTTATGAGTACTGCTGAAAAGTACTTTCCTTTGTACTTAGAGATAAGACACCAGTTCTGTCTTGTTCAGGTTGAAATGTGGCATATGCTTTTTCAAGGAGAAAAAGTATAGGCCAGACAGAAACTTAATTTAAAATGAGAAAAAATACTCACCGATTCATATTTAAATATTCTCGCAATTCAATAATCAGTGGCCGGAACATCCCCATTTCAGTCAATAGGAGGTCAATTTTCCTTTCATCAGCTTTGGATATTCATGAGAAAGAGTAATGTAATATAAAAGCCCTAAAGAAAGAAATATCCTCATGAAACAAATATTTTTATTAAACAAATATGCAACTGTGCAGTTTTAGAATTTGAACAATTTCTCCAATTCCCTTATTAAGAAAAATGTAATTGAAATTATAACAAAATACAGATAGTCCTTGATTTACAAACATTTGTTCAATGACAGTTCAACGTTACAGGGACACTTAAAAAATGGACTTAGTTATGGCTGATGAAGCAACTTGTAGTCATGTGATGAAAATTTGGCACTTGGTATTGTTGGAAGTTATAACCCACCCCTTTGCTAGAAAAATGAAATTTTAGGATATATTAAAAAGGCAGAGTATTTCCCCTAAAAGAGAAATAGAAACTCAGAAGCAAAACTCACCCCAGAGGGCAGGAACTCACCCCCACCTTTGCTAATGGGGCCATTAAGGCCTGGGCCAGTCTATTCTACATAACAGAAGACCTACCTTTTTCAGGTAGAGCCATAATAGGAATCCCAAAGCCCTTTAATTACATCATCATCCAGCAAGGCTCAACCAAGCCTGGGACTCAGGACAGCCTACAGAGTTGCCCCTGCATGGCCCCTGGGTTTCTGACAGCCAATGGGATACATTTCTTACACAGGAACAGAAAACACTAAGGTGGGGCCCAATAGACGGTATAAAACTAAGGGTCTTTTTTCCCTTTTTTTCTTCTTCCCTCAACATCTTGAAACAAGTGATTGCCCTTGTCTTCACCCAGGAGTTCCGGGCCATGTGGTCCTGTCCACCATTAAACCATCTTTCCAAGCAGTCACCATGTTTCCAGTGTCTTTCCTCCCCACTTGGAACTGAACCCAGAAGGATATTTCTGCCAACAGCACCTCACCTGCTCTTGCAACTAAAGGGGTGCTTCAATTCCCCCATCTACTAATCTCCCGCCCAATTTATGCTCTTTTGGCTGCTCTGCACCCTGCTTTGCAGTCCCTGAATTGCATGGCTCTAAGCCTGTTTGCCATGCCCCAGGAAGCCTCAGCCTGCCCCAGCAAGCATTCATTCATCCACCTCCTTCTCTCCCGGTTCCTTGCATTGACCTTTTGTGTCTTCCTGAGTTCTTTTCTAACCCAGCTTCTCCAACAAACATTTCCTGCTTTCCTACTTCTATTCCTTCTTTCTGAAGGCAGCACTCTTTAAAACTACATGATCTTCAAAAGGCTTTGTAAATCCCAGTCTCAATTGTAGTTATAAATTGAGGACTATCTGTAAAGCTATCCAGAAACCAGAGAAGTAGAAAATGATCGAGCAACGCTACACAGATTTTTTTTTAATGCCAATCTTCTGTTCTATAAGCATCTGCCAGCCATAAACTTTGGCCAATTTTATGAGTTGCAATAAACTATGAGTTCTAATGAACTATTTTGATATGAGATGATTGAGAACACACAGCCTTTGTTGAAAAATTCTATCCTACATTTAGCTTTGGTTATTTTATGATTTTGGATTATATTGTGCCTGTATAAAGTAATTACAATAAAGATTACTCTTCAATCAGATGAAAACACAATACACTGAGTCCCATTTACAGTGGCAAAATATTGTACTTTTGCACAATAAAAAACCCCAAACAAATTAACAGCACTAGCTAATGAAAAGATTCATTACACCTCTGCAAAAGTTATAGATGTGTCTGATGGGCCTTGCTAAGGAAAAGAATTCCCCACACCAAAAGCATACTTGATAATGTAGTAAATCATCCCACATATTGTTTTGTGCTCACAACTAACAGATCCTATCTTTTCCTGGAAGATCCTTTGTCCTACAATCTAATTTATCCTGACATTAGCCCAATAAGGAATCTCTCTATTTGTATTGGCCTGGCCTCCTACTAAGCAGATTTCAATAGGAATGAAATCTGCCCCTACATGGGATCAGTTAATCAGCATAGGGATTCTGAGAACCTTTCATGAATTTCAGTGAAGAACAAAGAAGCATCAGATAATATTAAGACAGTGGGTGCAAGTGGAGAAAGAACAAGGAATTCTGAAGATTTATTTTCCCGAAATGACGAAAAGTATCTTTTTCTTTCATCAATGTAACTATTTCTTTAAAAATTAAATTATGCAAGAGATAATCATAGATATTAACAGATATTAACTATTTCTGTGTACAAAACAAAGCATATTATATAAACTCTGTATTTTTAGTCATATATTATCACTCCCAATGAAATAAAGCCTTACATGTCTTGATAATTGTCACATGCAGATAGTCCTCGATTTACGACAATTGAGCCCAGAATTTATGTTGCTAAGTGAGACTGTTAATTGAGTTTTGCCCCATTTTATGACCTTTCTTGTCACAGTTAAGTTAGTAACATGGTTGTTAAGTGAATCTGGCTTTCCCATTGACGTTGCTTGTCAGAAGGTCGCAAAAGTGGACACTGCAACCATCATAAATATGAGTCAGTTGCCAAGCATCTGAATTTTAATCAAGTGACTAAGACATTAAGATGATGTACCGTATTGCAGGAAGAACACAAATATTTATTTCTTTATTATAATTTGTCAAACAAAAACGAGCAAGAATAAAAGAATAAAAATACAATGACAGGGACGATAGGCATATTAGTGTACTTATGCATGCCCCCTGGGAGGCTATTTCTATTTTCACCAACAGATGGGGCAAAGTCTTTCTTGTGTAGAGATGTTCAAGCTCTATTGCTTATTTTGGAAAAAATAGCTCTTCTATTTAATGAAAACTGTACTAAATTTCTCCAGTATATGTATGTTTTAATGTGGATTATAAATTCTATGTTGCTTAGTTAGGAACAAGGTAACTCAATGTAGTCTACTTTTGCAGACTTTTAAATTTTCATAAGTAGTATTGCATTGTTCTGAGCAATAACTGATATATAGTTACAAATATACAGTGCATCACTGATTTCAATTCACCATGTATGGTAATTCTTATTTGTCTAAGCAAAACACACACATGGGGGGGAGGGGGGGGAAAGAGAGACGGACCTCAATTTACAACATGGTTCATTAGTGACCAAAGTTGCAAGAGCACTGAAAAAAGTGACTTATGACTGTTTTCACACTTACCACTATAGCAGCATTCCCATGGTCATGTGATGAAAATACATATGTTTACAACGGACACATTTTATGAAAGTTGCAGTGTCTGGGGCCATATAATCCTTTTGTAACCTTCTGACAAGCAAAGGCAATGGGCAAGCCAGATTCACTTAACAATCATGTTGCTAACTTAACAACTGCAGTGATTCACTTAACAATTGTGGCAAGAAAAGTCATAAAATGGGGTAAAACTCACTTAATAAATGTTTCATTTAGTAACAGTAATTTGGGCTCAATTGTGGTTGTAAGTCAAAGACTACCTATAAATAAAAATTCCATAATAATGGAAAACAGGGGTATGTGTAAACTGTGTAATGATTAACGCAACTGTTGTAAATATGAGATTAGGAAATAGTCATCTAGTCAAACTATTTTAAAAACAATTCTGTTTAATGGAAGAAAAATATGTTTGCCTTGTTTAGAGAACTGTCTACTTACACTCATTCAATTGGACTTTATTTTATACAATTGGTAGAGGCAACTCATCATACTTCTGACTATTATTTAAATAAGCAAATGTCTGCATAATGAAATTTTGCTTCATTTTGTTTCCTGTTTCTATTGGTCCAATCTCAATCAATAATCGAACGACACTACAGTATACAATCCATCATCTCCCAGGATTGAGATTGGAAGGCCAATATTTCAATACATTTAATGCTTACTTAAACCTCTTAAATGCATGTTCAACATATAAGAGGAATCTTGTTCAGGTTTTTTTTAAGATATTTTAGAGGGAAAAAAAAGTCTTCACTGGTTTTAGTATAACAGAGATGTTTTGTCACAGCCAAAAAATGTAAAAGTTTAACGGTGTAGCTAAATGGAAAGAAAAAAGAGGAAGGGAGTGAAAGCCAAAGGGGAAAGATACATGTCTCAGTTGCCAGTGTAAATTTGTGTGTATGTTTGTGGCGGGGTGGGGTGGGGTGGTATTTTAGAAATTCTTTTCCAAGTCACTTTGTTTTTCAGCTAAAACATTTAAATTAAAGGGTATTAGTATCCTCAAATTGGACTGTAGCTGGTCCATTTTAATTCAGGATGAGTTTCAGAAATGTTTCAATACATCAAGAAGAATGAACAGTGTCAGAACTTACTGTAATTTACTTGAGACTGAACAATGAACAATCTGATATAACTGTTTGGAAAGCCTGAGGGAGGGTAATTTTTGCTTTTAGTATCAGTCAGCAGTTGCTTTGTTTTTGACTACACAGTGTACGAAGAGTTAACAATGCCAATTCCAATATTAAAAAGGCACATTATAGGAGAAATTGGCCTGAAATTAAATAACTGATTTCTCACACTATGTATAACTCTACAAATAACAAGACTGACAGGAAAAAAACCAACAAAATAATCGTTCATGTATTTCTCATAATTTAAGTTTGTGAAAATATAACATTTAGAGTGACAATGAGCATAATAAGTAATCTTAAAATTCTAAATTGATGGTCCTGATTAGAAAACATTTCATCCAATAAGTCATAAGTACTAAGAATTATATAGAAATAATCAGTATTGGAAAAATTATTTTAGAAATAAATCATGTTTCAAAAACATACCTATTCCTTTCTCTAAGGTTGAGCTTTGAGAAAATTGGTTCTACCAGTTTTCAATAGACATCTGTTTGTAAAATGTTCATTGGCTATCACATGTGACATCACAATCCCTCCTTTCCTAGTTGTTCAATTTGTTTAAATAAGACAATCATTTTAATCAATCTGAAGTGATGCATTTATATAATTTAAAATGATAGACCTTATAAGGACCAAGGAGAGATAAAAATGTTACTAGCACTGCATTTGTCAACTTTATAAGTGAGGAGATAGGCAGGCTTAGGATATAGTGCAAATCTTCTAAGACTCTGCATGCAAAAAGGCTCTGAAAATTCTCACAAAATATT